TTTTACATTCCCTTGAATTGTATTTGAGAGCATCCTCCTGCTCTCCAGCGATTTCTTATTTAAACTGGATATTAACTCTCTCTTCAAGTTTTGCCACAAAGGCAAGGGGGAGAGAATTGGGGTTTCATTGTTTTAATTTGCATTTCTCTGATTTCAGTGAAACAGAGAATAGTTTTAGTGTTTATTGGCTATTTACTTATTATTGTATATTCTTGTTCTTATTTTGTAGGGATAGTTGTACTTTGTTCATGGATTTTCAAAAAATTGATTTGCAGGGACTCCTTATATGTCCTAGGTGTTAATCCTATCTTCTTGTCTTCCTTTTTTCTTCTTCTTTCCTGGTGCTAGGGATCAAACCCAGGGCCCTCTGCATGCCAGGTAAGTGCTCTAACACTAAACTACATACTATACCTGTCAGACAATGTGCAAAACAGTGTTCCCTGTTTCTTTTTAAATTTTAACTCTGATTATGGTTGCTTCCAGCAAGTTAAAAGTGATGTAATGATATCATCCACTTTATTAGGGATGCCATATTGCTCAGTAGTAGAGAGCTTGCCTAAGTTGGCCAAAAAAAGAAAAGAAGTGTACAAAGTACACATCCACTTTATTAATTTTTTATATTGCCATTATTTTGGCTAACAACATATCAGAAGCTGAGAGAAAGTCCAAGAGGCTTTTAAGTGCAAATTCTTCCATGTTGATATTTTCAGCAGATTTGGGAGGCAATTTCCTTCTCTAACTGGGATTAAAGAGCAGAGAGGATTTGAAAGATGAGGGATTAAGGAGCAGCATGGCACAGTAATGCAGAGATCTTTTAGTTTCTCTTACTTTGTTTGCTGCTGTACAAAACAGCAGACAGAACCATGTGCACACATGAACAAAAGTGAAAGCTGATATCCAAATATACGATACTTTGGGATTGTCTGTTATCAAATAAGAATCATATTATGTCTTATCTCTGCACAGGTTTTAAAAACAACTTTACTTTTAATGCTAGGTTAAACTTTAAAATAAAAACTTGATCCCTACAATTAAAATCTCAAGTGATACTAAATTAAAATTTGGTATCTTTATTTCTCCTTTCTCTTGCATTAGGTATTGTGGGAGTACCTATCTAACATGATTTAGTGCATTTGAGGAACAAGATTGCTGTAGGACAAAAGAAAAAATAACGGAATATCATTTATTCATTCAGAAAATAATTATTAAATGCCTGGCAATATCTAGGGATATACAATGAGAAAGAAGATAGAAACCATCCCTGGTAGTGCATGCCTGTAATACCAGCACCTCCAAAGTCTGAGGCAGGAGGATCACAAGTTCATGGCCAGCCTCAGCAATTTTTTGAGGCTCTAAGTGACTCAGTGAGACCCTGTCTCTAAATTTAAAAAAAAAAGGGGGGGGGGTGTTGGAGATGTGACTCAGTGGTTAAAGTGCCCCTGGGTTCAATCCCTGGTAGGAGGAGGAGGAGGAGGAGGAGGAGGAGGAGGAGGAGGAGGAGGAGAAGGAAGTTGTTGTTGTTGTTTGAAGACCTTGAGTTTTATCCAGAATAATTATTAAAAACATTTAACAACTGTCAATGCCACCAACCAACCAAAATAGACAGAAGCTGGTCAACCATACCAAGAGTATTGGCTGAACATTAGCCCTCATTATATCAATGTAGAAAAACTGCAAAACTAGGTCATTCTAAATAAGTCCCTTTATAAATTGTTGGAAACAAATGCAAAATTAATTTTGAAACATAAATAGAACAGAAGAATTCAACTAGGTTTTTAAATTTTGAAACGTTTTCATTTCTTAATTTTTAGTACATTTTTTGACAGTGGCGGGGGGATGTACCAGGGATTGAGCTCAGGGGCACTAAACCACTAAGCCACATCTCCACCCTTATTTTGTATTTTATTTAGAGACAGGGTCTCACTGAGTTGCTTAGTGCCTCGAAGCTACTGAGGCTGACTTCGAACTCACAATCCTCCTGGCTCAGCCTCCCAAGATGCCGGGATTACAGGCTTGTGCCATCACGCCTGGCTTTTTGGTACATTTTTAACATAAAATTTTATTTATTTATTTTTGCTTATATTTTTTTTTATTTGTTCTTTTTAGTTATACGTGAGAGGAGAGTATATTTTGACATATTTATACAAACACGGAGTACATCTTATTCTAATTAGGATCCCAGTCTTATGGTTGTACATGATCTGAAGATTCACTATGGTGAAATTTTATTATTATTATTATTATTATTATTAAAAAAAWTTTAGCTGCAGGTGGACACAATACCTTTATTTTACTTATTTATTTTTATKCGATGCTGAGGATCAGACCCAGCACCTTTCACGTGCTAGGGGAGAGTTCTATCACTGAGCCACAACCCCAGCCCCAAGTTTTATTATTTTGAGAATTTTTTTACTATTATTTTGTGATCATAAGGTATAGGCTGAGTGTGGTGGTACACTCCTGCAATTCCAGCTACTTTTCATCATCCTTGGGAGGCTGAGGCAGGAGGATTGCGAGTTCAAAGCCAGCCTGGGCTATTTAGCAAGCCCCTGTCTCAAAATAAACAGGGCCGGGGTGAAGCTTGGTGACAGAGTTCCCCTGGATTCAATCCCCAGTACTGAAAGAAAAAAAATACCATAAGGTATAAAAGGCTATTCAATGAAACAAGTCATTTCCACCCTGTTCCAGATACAAAATTCTCCTCCCTGGAGAAAATTGATATTACCCCTTTTCATGTGCATCCTTACAGAGGATTACATTTTGTATACAATTTTAAAAATGTGTGATTTTTTTTTAAAACTTAAGTTAATAATACACCTACACGGGGGTTTCCAGAACAATACAGAAAAGATCCAGAACTAGTATTTTCCATTAGTCTTTAGCCAAATGAACCTCAGAGTCTTGGTCTTTTAAAAATTTGAATATAAATCACGTTCCATAGAATTCAGTATTTAAAGTACAAATTGGCTGATTTTTCAGTATTCACAAGATCATGCAACCATCACCACTATCTAATCTCAGAGCATTTCATTCCCCAGAAAGAAACCCCGGGCCCATTATAGTCACTTTCCATGTCCTTCTTCCCCTATTCCTTGGAAACTGCTAATATCTCTTTCTGTCTCTGTATATTTGCCATTCTGGACATTTCATATAAATGGAATCACACCATATGTTGTCTCTGTTTGGCTTCTTTCACTCAGTAAAATGTTTACACAGTCCATCCGTGTTGCAGCGTGCATCAGTGCTTCATCCCTTTTTTTTTTAACCCTTACTTTTCAGTTTTGCTAAAATATATCTAAGATTTACCCCTTTAACCATTTACAAGAGTACAGTGCAGTGCAGTGGGATTAGATATGCTGTTGTGYAACCATTGCCCTCTCCAGAACTTTTCATCATCCTAACCTCTGTGCCCCTTAAACACCAACTCCCCATCCCCTGATGACCTCTACTCCACTTTTGTTCTTGTGACTGGCTTATTTCACTTAGCACAATGTCTTCAACGTTCATCCAGGTTGTGGTATGTGTCAGAATTTCCTTTTTTTTTATAGCTGAATAAATATTCCCATCATGTGCTCACCCCACATTTCATCTATTCATTCATCTGTTGATGGACATTTGGACCACTTACACTTTATGACTGTACTGAATGTTGCTGCTGTGGACATTTTTGTGTGAGTTTTTGTATGACCACATGTTTCCCATTCTCCTGGGCAGCAGAGAACGTTTAGGAGGGACTGTAGAGGAATTTGACAAGTAACATCCATTGCTCAGATATATAGATCCTTTGATTACCACTCAGGGATGGACCATGACCATTAGGATTCTCAGTCTCCCCATTTGAGTAACAGATGAGAAAGTTCTCATTAGTGATGAAGGATATTTGTACCTTGGTAGGCAAAAGCACRAGGTTGTTAGAGTTCACGTGTGAAGTTTCAGTAGAGGTGGAGGCTATAAAAGGACGTGGAGTGCTGAATGAACTGTGCTGGTTACTAAGGACCATCCTCCTCTCAGGTCCAAACCCCAATGTCTACATTCTCCTTTGTGAGCACAGGAGGCTGGGGCTCTGCRGCCATATTTCTTCTTTGACAGCCAGCTGCCCACTAAGTGCTGCCTGTGGGGAGGCACTAGAGGGCAACTAAGGGAAAGGAGACACACTCCTCTCCCTTTGCTTGCTGTGCCTGGGAGGATCATCCGGACTCTTTGCCCTGATGGTAGCAGCTGACTCCAGGGTCCAGGTGTTTTTTTATCCCTGAACACTGTCATGCTCCCTCACACAAGCAGAAGCAGYTGGCTGTGAAGTCAGCTACTCTATTCCTTAGAACTTTGGGCTGGAGGTCCTCCCTCTGAACCCTTGGGGTATCAGTGTGGCTGGTAGTACCCCAGCTCTATCACCATGGAAACTCAGCACTCCCTTCTCAGGTTTTCCATTTTCTAATATTTGTTAAATCTATCCTTTCATTAAATTCTGTCTGTTAAAATAACATGATTCCTGTCTCCTGACCGATCCCTAGCCGTGAATACAGAAAGCAACCGTCATGCTTCTCAGGAAATGAGCATGCACACGGCCGTATGAAGTCCAGGCTGAATTCTTGGGGCTCTGTGATAATGCCATAGACTGAGTATTTGTGTCCTTCAAATTTATATATTGACATCCTAAACTCCAGTGTGATGGCATTAGGAGGCAGGGGCCTTGGGGGTGATTAGGTCATAAGGGTGGAGCCCTCATGAGGGGGATTAGTGCTCTTATAAAAGAGACCCCAGAGAGCTCTCTCCCCTTTTCTGCCACAGCAGGACACAGCGAGATGGCTGGCCTTGGAGAAGACTCACCAGACACTGAATCTGCCAGCACCCTGACCTTGGACTTCAAGCCCCAGAACTAAGAAAAATCAACATCTGTTGTTTACAAGGCACTCAGTCTATGGTTTTTATTATAGCAGCCTGAACAGACTACAGACTACAGCAGATGATAATGCAGAAATAGCCATGTTTTAAATGCTTACCCATTTTCCAAGCAGAGCTTTTCTTTCTTCAAATACCTGCAAATAGGTAAGAGAGAATTGGGTGACTTCATATATCATGGTTCAAAATATCCATTACAAGAACAGCATCATKGAAGGATCAGTAAATAAGTATTCACTACGTCAACTCAGTATGAAGAATCCCGTGTCATTCCCGGAAGGGTACTTTACTTATTTTTAACATAGGCAATGTATTTCTCCGTGTGAAATACATAAAAAAGAATGATTGTTCTTTAAGAGAAATAAGAAAAAAATGGAATTWTAAAGARAAGTCAATTTTAGTTTGTGAAAGGAGATAAACAAAAAAAGAGGGRAAAAAAGGAAAAATGGTGCTCCCCCTCCAAAACATATCAACACTAGTGGTATGARAATTTATAAAATTTATGAATGAGCAGCTTTGATTTTATATTTCAGTGTGTACACATATAAATGGGTGTCTCGGTACTTATTATGTTTGTAGGGTTAGTAATTTCTGGGTACCTCTGGGCTTGCAACTGCATATTCAGCTGTAGAGGTTTATTTTTACSTACTGTGTGGATAGAAACCATGCCTCCCTCCTTCATGTTGCCATCTCCAACGTGCAGTGCTGTCCGTGGCGTGGTACAAGCAGCCATGTTTGTTGAACTGAATGCATGTGGTTGTGAGGCTGGATATCCTTATGGATGTAGCAGTACAGTGGGACTGTATTTATATGTTGGTGTCTAGGTGTTTTTCTGAGCATCAGTGCATATGTGGATCTGAGCAAGTGAGGAGGGGAAGACTAATGTGGGTATGTTTGGCAGAGGAGGGGGTTTGAGAAGAGGAAGAGACAGTAATGAACATATGTGAATGTCTCTCTCCCTCCAACACATACACCCTCTGTCAGCTTTCAGAATCGGATGGATGTTTTCCCCTTCTCCTTGGCACTACCTAAATTCCAGCACTACAAGAATGTCCCTGCTTGGAGAGGCAGCTCAGACCTATTTCTTCCCTTTTTATGGGGGAGGACGAGGAGCGGGTTTTATGGCTCCATAATGCTTTCCTTTCCTTTTTAGACTCTCAAACTCTGGTTGCCAGGAGCATATGAAACAGGAACCGAAATAACTGCTTCAACAACCGACTGGGGACCAGTGAAATGCTGCTTTTGCTCCTGTCTGGGGTATCTCTACATCACAGGTAGACGCTTCACACAWTAGAGAAGAAGAAAAAGATCCCTCCCCACAATAAACTGCCACCAGGACAAATAAGGGCACAGACCAACTCAGAATTTCTAGATGAAAACAGAAGAGAAGCTATGGAACACAGGAGATTTTTAAAAATCTGGATTTCAGCACATCCTGAACTCTTCCAGATTGGTCACCTGTTGCCCAACCCAAGCCACCAGGGTGGCCAGCTTGCTAGCTCCCTCCCTCCCCAGGCCAGTGCATGCTGCACTGGGCTCCACAGTTCTTGATCCCAAGCCCACCAGAACCCCTTTCTCCTGCATGCTCCACAGAGCCAGCTGGTGCAGGTTCCAGAGCAGACCCTAGACTGGCCAACTGAATAGCCACAGAGAGCTTCAGAAGTCATAGCATTTCAGAGCTAAAAGAAATCCTAAAGCTCTTTTTGTTAGGTTTCCTTATTTTAGAAAGGACAAGCTGAAGACCAAAGAGGTCRTGTTCATAGATGTTTTAAAAATCACTGGTTGTAAACTCTGTTCAATTCCCCTCTACACTTGGTCCCTCACTAGAACTTGGGTCTTCCCCATCCTRAATTCCAGCCCTCAATTCCCCATGAACTTGTGTCTGACAATGGGAAGAAGCGTAGGTTCTGAGCCACAACTGAGATTTGAAAAGGAGGTTGGGATGCACCCTCATGGTGTCCACCAATGTTGTGGCTCATAGGAAGCAGAGGACACTCACTGGGAGGGGCAGGATAGTCTACAAAAACGCAGCAGGGGGCTGGGGCTGGGGCTCAGTGGCAGAGCACCTGCCCSGCACATGTGAGGCACTGGGTTAGATCCTGAACACCACATAAAAATAAAGACAAGAAAGAGAAAAGAAAAAATAAATAAATGCAGCAGGAAGGGAATGAGGTGGGAGTGGAAGTGTTACTCTGACTGAAGCAAAGGCACTGAATAAGTAGGGTCAGGGCAAACCCAGTCATTCAGGCGTCTACACCCAAGTGGAAACTGGTGGGCGTGAAGGGGTAGATGAGAAGCACCAGACTGGAAGTCAGGAGACCTCAGATCAGGTTCTGACATGACCTTTGACAAGGAAGATGATTTGGAGCTAACCATTTCATTGTCAGGTCCTTGTTAGGGGCTGATGGTCTTACGGTCCCCAATTTGGAGCGAATCCTCACTCCAAAGATTCGCAATCAGGTTCTTCATTTTGAAGAGCTGGAAAACAAAATGTCTATGCAAAATGGAAGTATTAAAACGGATCTTCCTTTCATGCAGAATGCTGCAGTCTGTTTATATCACAGTTTACCCAGAGCCTGCTGTTAAGTCAAAATCCCACGGTTGTTATTTTAGTCTGTTGACACTGCAATTACATATTTCACCATGTGACATCATTACAGCGTAGGAGGGAGATATTTCAGGGTTCCTAAATTATGGCTGATTGATGGCAACAAGGTGCCTTTTCTCACAAAACCGTTTTAACATGTAATGTACTACATGTATAAATCGTCTCTAAAAGAAATGTGGATTATGGGGCTGGGATTGGGGYTCAGTGATAGAGTGCTTGCCTAGCGTGTTTGAGGCACTGGATTTGATCCTCAGCACCGCATAAAAATAAATAAGTACAAGTTTAAATTTTTTTTAATTAAAAAAAAGAAAAATGGATTAAAGAAAAGAAATGCAGATAGAGAAATAAATGTTTTTCTTTCTTTCAATGGTATATATTTAAGGTGTACATAGTGAAATGATTGCTAGGGCCAATCAAATCAACCCATTTGTCAGCATGTTACTTTTTGTCAGTAGTAAGGATCATTTTTTTTTTTAAAGAGAGAGAGAGAGAGAGAGAAAGAGAGAGAGAGAGAGAGAATTTTTAATATTTATTTATTTATTTATTAGTTTTTGGCGGACACAACATCTTTGTTTGTATGTGGTGCTGAGGATCGAACCCGGGCCGCACGCATGCCAGGCGAGCGCGCTACCGCTTTGAGCCATATCCCCAGCCCGTAAGGATCATTTTTAATGATGACATTGTTTGGCAAAGAGGTCCATACTTTTAAAGCATTCCTCCACTTAAAGTTCTCATGCTTGCATTACTTTGTAATCTACTGCATTTTTGTTTTTTGAAGGCATCTAAATTTGAATTCAGTCTCTCTGCTTAAAGCCTGCTGTGAAGTTAAAATCCTGTGACTCTTATTTTAGTCAGAGATAGTTATGTACTTCACATTGTACCACAGAATAGAAGACAAGACTCGAACAAAAACGAACTTGGATCTCACGATTGCATTGATCTTTGGTGGCAATGTCCTGGTTTTGAAGTGTAGAAAACCCCTTGAAATTACTGTGTGGTTGCCTTTTGGCCACTGTGTCCTTGGACATCTATTTTTAATTCCTTTTACACAGTCGGAATGTTAGATATGAAAGGGACCTTGGAGGTCACCTGACCTAAACCATTCATTTTACAAAGGAGACAGAGTTCAGAAATGATAGTGACTTTCTCAAGGCATGCAGGAAATTATTGGGACAGCTGATCTGGAGCACATTTTCAGTTCCTAAAGTCATTATTCTTTGTTTTATTTGTATTCATTTTAAAATTAAAATTTGAAACATAGTGCACCATAAAWGTAAACAAATGAAATCTGTCTCTTCTACAGACACCTCCCTCCAGCCACCAATACCCTTCTAAGTTTTTTGGGGAATCATAGTCATATACAATTCCTTTTTTTTTTTGTATAATCATATATAAATCTTTTTTTTGGGGGGGTACTGGGGATGAACTAAGGGGCACCCAACCACTGAGCCATATCCCCAGCCTTATTTTGTATTTTATTTAGAGACAGGGTCTCAGTGGGTTGCTTAGCACCTCAGTTTTGCTGAGGTTGGCTTTGAACCCATGATCCTCCTGCCTCAGCCTCCCAAGCTGCTGGGATTACAGGCATGCTCATCATATACAAATTCTATGTACGGTCTATGCATGTTGATATACGTGTGTGTGTGTGTGTGTGTGTGTGTGTGTGTTACACTCATGCAAAGTTATCTTTTGGGTTTTTTATTTATTTATTTTTTTGGTACTGGGGATTGAACCCAAGGACACTTTACCACTCAGCTATATCCCCAGAACTTTTTTTTTTTTGAGACAAGGTCTTACTAAGTTGGTGAGGGTGTTGCTAAGTTGATGAGGTTGGCTTCAAACTTGTAATCCTTCTGCCTCAGCCTCCAGAGTCTCTGAAATTTACAGGCATGTGCCACTGCACTCAGCAYGTGCAACAAGTTTTAAAGGAAAAATTTTACTCAACACTAGAACCTAATTAAATCAAAATATAAGTTTTTGGAATAGGGTGGTTCTAAACAATAAAACAAATGTTTTATCTAGAAATTATCAGTAAATGTGACAAAATCCATTAACAAACCAAGATAAGGCAATGTAAGACTTGCTGTGATGAAGTGACTCCACCCCACGACTGAAGGATTTATTCCTGCACCTGAGGGGAGGCTGTTGATTGACAGCCATGAGCTTGAGAGAGCTGCCTTGCCAAGGTCAGGCCTTCTTGAGAGGAGGGAGCAGCTAACATCCACTCAATGGTCAGTGTGGAAGTGTGAAGGACTGACCTCCTTGCTGGATTGTAAGATCACTCGGGGTTTATGATTTGGATGTAAGGTTTCTCCCAAAAGCTCACAAGTGAGACACTGCAAGAAGGTTCAGAGGAGAAACGATTGGGTTGTGAGAGTCTTAACCCAATTAGTGAATTAATCCCTCATGGGATTAATTGAAGTGGTAGGGTATGGCTGCAGAAGGTGGGAATTGGGGCATAGTTATGGGGTATATATATTTGTGTCTGGAGAGTGGAGTCTCTCTCTCTCTGCCTCCTGGTCACCATGATGTGAGCTGCTTTCCTCCACCACCCTTTCCTACCATGGAGCCAGCCTTCTATGGAATAAGACCTCTGAAACCGTGAGACCTCAAATAAACTATTCCTCCTCTTTAGTTGCTCTGGTCAGATCCTTTAGTCACAGCAGTGAAAAATCTGACTAAAGCACTGGGGGACCAGGTGGCTTCAGGGWATACCATGGGGTCAAAAAGAGGCCTTGTGGAGGTGCAGTCCAGCCTACCTTCTTCCTTTGCCCCACACCCCACATCTTTCTCTGCCTCCCTTCTCCTGCCCTGCAGGTGTTCATCTCAGCATCTGCTTCCTGGGGTTGGGAGTATAGTTCAGTGGTAGAGCACTTCCCTAGCATTCTCTAGGCCCTGGATTCAATCCCTAGAGCCACCAGAAAAAACAACAACAAACCAAAAAACCATATCTCTAGTTACCCAACCTGTGAAAGGCACTCAGGTTTTTGTTTGTTTTGTTTTGTTGTAGATAGACACAAAACCTTTACTTTATTTATTTATTTTTGTGGTTCTGAAGATCAAACCCCGTGCCTCATACATGCTAGGCAAGCGCTCTACCACTGAGCTATGTCCTCAGCCCCATTCAGGTGTTTTTTGGCTATTAAATCAATTTCTTTTCCATGGCAGCTACATTGATCAAGACTCTTAGGTCTGGGGATGTGGCTCAAGCGGTAGCGCGCTCGCCTGGCATTCGTGCGGCCCGGGTTCGATCCTCAGCACCACATACCAACAAAGATGTTGTGTCCGCCGAGAACTAAAAAATAAATATTTAAAAAAAAAGACTCTTGATTTTTCAAGAAAATTTTCTGGAAATCAGGGCATCCAACAAATTTGTATTTCAATTCAAGTCACTTTTTCACATGTGAGTAAAACCTTCACAATTCTATGGGAAAACAGATTTCAAAATTAAACACTGAAGTTTTGGGGGGAAAGCAGATAAGCTGTTATATAAACTGTCAGTGCACCAAGAGTGTTGCAAACAGGTGCTCAGTAAATAACTGTTACAGGGAAAGAAAAAGATTTTCAACATTCTTGTTTGGTGTTCACGGCTATAGATAAAAGCAGGATCAACCTTTCTATCTCTGCCTTTCCTTTTGGTTCTTCTGCYTCCCCCCCACCCCCAATTTCCTTATCTTTTTCCTTTTTAGGGTCTCTTCATTTTACTTCTCACTATTCCCATTCTTGCCCAGCTCTTCTCTCTCTTAGAAATCGCTGGTGTTTCAAGTCAGAGGAGCAGAGAATACTGAGAGGCGGCTTTGCTGGAGGGATTAGCACATCTGTTAGGGTTAGAGAAATCAAGGGCTGACTCTGGGCTAAGGAAGACGATGACGGGATCAGAAGAGGAGAGTCAATGAAAGGGGACCAGGAGGGACCTGCGCTGGCTCTACCWATTGTGCTTCAGGATCATCCCAGGCACTGGAGACACAAGGGAGAACCTCAGCCTGATGCATTAGAGCTGAGGAGGAGTAGGATGGGTGGAGCCGGGAGGGTAGCTGAAGTTAGTCTATGAAGGGTCTCAAGGATATGCATGGGGATCGAAAGTCACCCTTTTGAGTGGGGCCCATTTTCAGTTTCATGTAATAGGATTGGTATTCTAGGAAGATCATCCTGGGACCCCAACAGAAGATTGGTAGGTACGAACAGAGGTAGAAAAACCAGCTAGGGGATTACTGCAATATGGCAAGGGGTCCCCAGGGTCCCATCTGAGAATGTGGAGCTGGAGGTTCACAGGCGGATGGAGAAAGGGGCCTGAATGAGAAGTCAAGGAGGAAGATTCACAGGACTTGAAGATGAACCGGATGTGGAGGCAAGGTGGTAGTCACTTCTCCATGGGCCTCTGCTGCTCCTGAATGTCTCGCCATGCCAAGAATGCAAAGCCCTGAGCACCTGCAAATCCAGGTTGGATTGCAGGAAGGCAACCCTGAGGGATGAGCAGGTTTGCTTATGCGTACTATAACGCTCACCCACTGCATCACCCACTGCAACTGTGACATGCATCTGGGCCCTCGGCATCACCCCTGTGGGACAAGGTTGACCAAAAGAGCTGGGGGGAACATGCTGCTCATCCTGAGTGCTGTGCTGTGGGTAATGTCTCTGGCCCAGGAATCTGTCTCTTTTACTGTGATATAGCAATGTCATCTGCTTCATAAGCAACAGGCTAATTTCTCAGCTTGTAAATTGGGGGAAAAACCAACTCCCAGACCCAACAGGGAGAAGGAAGATTTCTGACCTGAATAACATGATGTAAAGTGGTGTTCAGGAGGAGGAACTGGTGTGCAGGAACAAGACAATGAGGTCAGTTTTATACAGGTTGATTGTATTTTACTGCTAACTATTTGGTCATTATTTATTTATTTTTCATTTTTTATTAGTGCATTTTAATTATACAGAACAATGGGTTTCCTTGTGGCATATCATACAGCATGTAACTTACTTTGACCATATGCAGCCCCCCATTACTCTCCTTTACACCTCCCCCTCCCCATCCACTCTCTAATATTCTCCCTGCTATTTTCTTTTTTTAAAATTTGTTATTTTTAGATATACATAATAGTAGAGTATATTTTGATACATTATATATACATGGAGTAAATTTATTCTAATTAGGACTCCATTCTGTGGTTGAATATGATGTGGAGTTTCATGGTTGTGTATTCATATATGAACATAGGAAAGTTATGTCTGATTCGTTCTACTGTCTGATGTGGTCTTTATGTATAGTGATTGCTATTAGGAGCTCACAGACCTACTGGTAACTTTCACTCCTCACTGAAGCAGGAATGGATACCCCCCAGAGGCTGGCCAATCTCTCACACTAGCCACCCGCTGCATTGCTTGGTTTGGTGCATTTTACTAATTTCCCCAAAATGTATATGGGAAATATTCTTAGGAGAACTGGAATAGTATGAGCAATAGGTCAAAATTTATGCATTTGGTACATTTCATATGCAGCATTACCCAGTGACCTCAACTCTAGCAAGAAAACCTCTTTTGGGGAACTCTTTGAAAACCACCCTCTCCTCTTCTCCTCCAGTTCTGGTAGTTCTAGAGGAGAACTAGTGATGGAAGACAAAAGGCAACTGAGATGAGAGAGACCAGGAGCGACTTTGCAAGAAAGAACAAATCAAAGCCACTTTCTTCTTAAGCAAGGGACTCTGTGTCTATTGCCAGTTCTGTCCACATAGCAAAGCTTCAATAAATTTATAAAAAGAAATTTGAGGTTGAAGAGGGACAGCATGCCTTTATTTTACTTGTTTATTTTTATGTGGTGCTTAAGGATTGAACCTAGTGCCTCACATGTGCTAGGCAAGTGTTCTACCACTGAGCTACAGCCCCAGCCCTCGATAATTTTTTTATAGTAAATCCTTTGTTTGTCTTTACTTCATCCATCACACAATACTAAATAATTCCTATTTATACATATATATTATACATATATCTAATAAATAACACATAAATAAATTTACATATATCCATTATATACATATCCCTATAAATATATATTATATGTAATATGTATTATATATATTGGTGCTGGGATTGAACCCAGGGGCACTTTACCACTGGGCTACATCCCCAGTTCTTCGTATTTTTTATTTTGAGACAGGGTCTTGCTACATTGTTGAGGCTGACCTTGAACTTGTGATCCTCTTGCCTCAGCCTTCTGAGTACATGGGATTACAGGATTATAGGTGTGATTGGGCCTGGCCCCTGTTTATATTATGATAACCAAAATTTTACTACCATTTTTTTCTTTAAGACTTGGATTCAACTGGTGAAGATACTCTGGCCACTCACCTGGTTATTCAACACCTGGTGGTTGAGGGGTGTCCAGGTACTCATCTTTATYTGCATTTTGGGACATTCTATATTCTTCGGAGGTGCAAATGCCATCATGCAATAACTGGATATTCTTCCAAAAAGAAGACTATACCTGTTGGAATAAACAAGACACATAACCCTGACAATATTAAAAATACCAATGCCATGTAATTTTGGAATGATGGCAGAATAATGGATAGGAAGAACACTCGCTGGGAGTATCTTAAACGTGAAGCACTTTACATGTATGCTCAGGGCAAGTTCATGGGTTAGTAAGGTGGTAGGTTTTAGCTCATTTCACAGGTGAAGTCACACACGGACAGGTGACTTCAGAGGTGAAGTCAAGGTGACACAGACAGCAAGTGCTAGATCCAGGTTTCATGCCCAGGCCAGTCTCAGTCTGCTTTCATTGGATCACAGAGTGGGGGCTGGGGATGCAAAATCTCTCCTAGCTAAGAAAGAGAAATATTTAAATTTAGAATCAGAGTGTAGAGCTGGGGTTGTGGCTCGGTGGTAGAGTGCTCGTCTCACATGTGTTGGGCCCTGGTTTGATCCTCAGCACCATATAAAGATAAATAAAATAAAGGTATTGCGTCCATCTACAACTGAAAAAAAAAAAGTACAATAGTAAACACTTCATTCTTGTCCCTGTCATAGTAACTCTCCTCCTCCTTCTTAACTTTCTGACATCCAAGTCACAAAACTTCCAGGCGATGCATACATATTTTGGAAACAGATGGTGTAATGAACAGAGCAGAGGCTTTGGAGATGGACAGACTTGAGTTTATTCAGGGAAATTTGTAGGTTTTAGTTGTCCAGTGTACGTCTGCCTCCTTTTAATTAAAGCACTATGTATGTGTTTGTGTGTTTGTGACCTCAAAGGAATCCTTGGGTTCTTCTCAGCCCCTACTGGCTCATTATCTGAATCACTATATTTTTAGCTAAGTTACAAAAGGCATATGAAGTTACTCCATTACAGTATTATTAATCAGCAACCAGCTATAAAAATACATGTGAGCAGGTAAATYACAGGTACAAAGCATGGCCACTGAGTCGAGGTCTGCCCAGCTAAAAATTACATATTTCTTTTTGTTATAGTTATTGATGTTCTACCTTTCTTCTTTTTATTTATTTTTATTTTATTTTTTATGGTAGTTGGACACAACACCTATTTTTTATTAATTTACTTTTATGTGGTGCTGAGGATCGAACCCAGGGCCTCACATGTGGTAGGCGAGCCCTCTACYGCTGAGACACAACTCCCGACGTTTTCTTCTTTTTAAAGCATTCTSATTCTCTTTGAGAATGAGAGCTATGAATCCTCTCCTTAGCAAAACGCCATGAACATAAAATTTTGCTTAGTCTAGGTTAAAAACTCCTGCTCTACACTGAGAAACTCCCTCTATTCCCACTTTAGGTAGGAAGCAATCTGACTTATTCTGGACACCATTTCTAAATTAGGAGAAAGTAGCTTTTCTCAGTGATGCCCCAAGGGTCTGCACTGGTTGTTTTCTTTCTCCTGGCTCTGGGAAGCTGGAAATCACCTGGACCAAGCTTTCTTCAAAGCAGCTGGAGGTGAGTGTGTTTCTAAGAGGTGGGTCTGGCCAGGGGAAGAGTCCTTTCAATGACAACAGTCCTGCCTCATCTTTCATTATTATGCTTTTCCAATTTTTCCCTTTCCCTTCCATTCCAGGTCATGGACAATGTGCATACTTGCAGGCACGCACATTTCAGAGTACAGACTACTGGCTACTACTGAAAAGACAGAAGCTTTTTTTTTTTTTTTTTTTGTATATAACATCCACAAAAACAATCATCTGCTCTGTCAATAAGACAGAGGAAATTACCTCTCCTCCTTCCATAGATAAGTCTTGCTGTTGCTTTTCTTTGTGACCTCTTTTCCCTATAATGGGAATTTGCCTTTAATATTTCTTGGAATAAAAATGTAGAAAGAGGGCCTAGGGGCCTCATGGCCCACGCATGGGTCCAATCCCATGTTTAACAGCCAGGGTGGGTCCACTTCCAATCTGATATCCATAGCCATTTTTCACACCATGGCCGTTATTAACAGTTTCACTAGAGACTTAAGAGGTCTGTCCTAGGCTTACAAAGAGTTTCTGCCTTAATAGAGCTCATGATCTACTGTTAGAGAAGTACTTTTTTTTTTTTAAATGAGTGATGTCACTTATGAATTCAAAAACCTTTGTAGGCTCACCAACAAGGATAGAATAGGAAAGTCTGGGTCCACTATGACTGTGCCTCAACTTACATTTTCAGCCTCATCCCTTCCTTCTTTCATGCACTCTGTCCAGACACACCAAATACCCAACCACCCTGAGAACACTGAAAAACCCTGGCCCTTCTTACGTGCATCTCTGAGACCGCTCATCTGAATCCTAAMCACAGTCCTAGGTAATAGATGCTCAATAAATATTTGTTAAATCAATGGAAAGAATGAATACAACAGGGAGAGGGGAAAGTGGTTTGAGGATTAAAATTAGTGGAAATAAATGTACAGTGAAACTTGGAACATTATGAACTGGGTTCTGGGGTAATACTCAGGATTCCCAGCTTTGTATTTGGAGTTCACAGAGCAGAATAGGATTGAGTTTCTCTGCTAACACCCAATTCATCCACTGTACACTGTAACATCATTAGGCAATCTCAAATATTATCAGGAGGTTGTCAGGTAATAGGGTATCCGAATTCACCTTATACTCATCTAGTTAAAAACAAAGCAAGCACTCCTAATACACTGCCAAGAGCTAGTGCTCGACCGGCACGTAATTATTAGTAGTTAATTTCACAAGTATGAAGCATCTGGCACTTGAATTGTAGCTGGAATGTGAGAGGAAAACGTAATCCCCAGGAGCACCGACAAGGCCTGTGGGAGGCTCAAGAGCTCTCCAAGACAGGCTCCATCTTTCCCATGCACTGCCCGCTGCTCTCACCTCTTTCAGCGGGCTCCCTCTTCAAGCCTCTAGTGCTGGGGTTGCCATAGTTGCACTAGGTCAGCTTTTTCTTTGACTCCTTCCAGCCCCCACCCCTCCCTGCTTTCCTAGTCCAATCACCATCTATAAATTCTGTCGCTGGCATCCGGGGWCTCTTAGGCAACAATGTGTGGTCTCTTGATTGGCCGGGACATCCAGGAGGGCTGGCTCCAAAATTGGGCACCGAGATAAAATTAAAAAGTGTGGGCACCAAGCAGGTGGAGCTACGTCGACATCCGGATGCTACGCTGGGCTGGGAAGGTACGCAATTCGGAAACCAGGGGCATGGAAACCTTCATTCAAATCGTGCTGCTGTTGTGTTCCAGATCAGCCCTTACCCACTGAGCATGCCCAGTTATGTTATTCTGGTCACTCCGGAGTTCCGAAATGCGAACTCCACTTTGCCAGGTTTTAAGAGTGGCCAATAGGTAAAATAGGGTTGGAGGAAAACGAATTCGCGTCTGGTTCGATGGAAGAATAGCACCTGCAGCAGGAAATGGGAAGACGTGGGGGAAATTGTCCAACATGCAAACCCACAAGTGCTCCCCCAGCGATTTATATTTATTGGATTATGAATTCAGGCTGAGTGACAGATACACCAGGGAACCAGCAGATGGCATGCCTTAATAACAATAACTCTAAATTTGGAAATCTTAACATCCGGTCTAATTTAATTATTTAAATTTGTTGACTACCTACCTTGTAACAAGGACTGGAGTGAGCATATATGGATAAAAAAAAGAAATCTAATAAGGAAACTGGAAAAAGCAGTAAATAACTAATAGAAGGCTCACAGTCCCAACATCTGTGAGCTGTAGAATACCATGAAGTACCATGAAGTTCAAAATTTTAGAATCAAGCTTCTTTGGCCTAGGCAAAACAGGTGTTATGGGCAGCATTAATCTCCCCTCCCTCAAGCCAAAGCAAACAAACAAAATAACTTTCCTGGCTATTTTTGTTTCCTAAAATAATGTACTCTTCTCCAACTCAAAGGAAGTTACAAACCTTATGTTTGTATTGTGTTTCATAGTTTTTAAATAGGTAACATTTGTATGACTCCAATTTAAATAGCAGAAAAAGGTAAGTTGAGCTCATGGAGGTGGTTGCTTAATCCAAATTAACAAAGGATCAGCAAGGGCCAAACTGAAATTGGAACCCAGGTTGTCTGAATTCCAAGGTAGAGGTTTCCACATGAACAGGTTGTATGTAAATGAATAAACAAAGCCTTTAGGGGGTGTGAGGGGGCTCCTGGGGGAGGTGTGCCTATGTAATACTAAATTACCATGCATTACCAATTAACATTTATGATTTCAAAACAGGTTCCTCCAGAAGGAGACCAGTTTTAACAATGTCAAGAGTGCAGAGCCTCTATGTGATGCTCCCACATGTTAATTAAAGACTTTCTATTACAACATGGAAGGAAATCGAGATGGGACATAGCATCTCACTTTATCCCTGTTGGATTTGAATATTTTTATCCCTGACAAAAGGTTCCTTTTGTCTCTCCTCTCAACAGAACCTTCTGGGCCTCCTTCTTCCTGCAGCTCATCTGTCTGACTATTGTTCCCCCAAACGAGAGTGAGTCACACCATTTCTACTGTGTTCATAGTGACACACAGAGAGCTCAATGTCTGTGATTCTTCAACATTGCTTTTACACAGAAGAACTCAATCATTAAAAAAACAAAAACCAAAAACCTTAGACACTTTTTATTTTTTGCCATTATACATGTACTCTTTTTGTTTGTTTGTTTGCATTACAATTCTTAATACCTTAGAGACTTTTTCATAAGAAATAACATATCTCCATGGAGATTTTTTAAAATGTTAACTTTGGCTTTGTGTGTGTTTAACAAACAAGAAGTCCTTTTGTGTATTTCCAGGTCTCATTCTCCTCTCTGCCTGCCTAGAGACAGTCATGAAATTCATTGTTATGAATGTGTAGCCTCCTTGTTTATTATTATGTATATGTTAGTCTTCATAAATGACATGAATTAACACTAGTTATTTTTTAAGGCATCATCATTTATATATCTTTTTTTAATATTTATTTTTTAGTTTTAGGTGGACACAATGTTTATTTTATTTTTATGTGGTGCTGAGAATCGAATCCAGTGCCTCATGCATGCTAGGTGAGCGTGCTATCACTTGAGCCACATTCCCAGCCCCATCATCATTTATATATCTTGTTGTTTGCATTTYACCAAATACAAATTTTGGAGGTTTAGTCATGTCGGTACATTCATTTCTACATCATTCACACCTTCCAATGAGAGCTGTGATGTGTCCTATGCCTGACAGTCTTTACAGGATAATGTGTAAATCAAATAAAAAATGCACCTAGCAGCGCATCTGCAGAGGTTCCTCAGCCACAGGGATCTGGAAATACACAAAACAGGCATAGAGGTTTTTCCAGCCTTGCCGCCTCACCCTCAGCACAGGTGCTGCTGGCTCCCCAGGACACGCTGGCTTGCCTAGAATCAGCCTAAGGACCCACTATGTCTTTACAAAAGAAGAAATGTTGCTGTACAATTATGTGTTTATTAGGATAATGGAAATTGTCGTTGGAGGTCTCGTTTATTATGCCAGTTCACAGAGGTTTTGTTGTTATGACGGGCTGGGCCTCCCAATGCTAGGTAGGTGCCCCTACCAATGAACTACATCCCCCAAACAGATTACCTTCTGATGGGAAATTATGCCTCAGCTCAACTCTTCAGTGTTTACTTAAAATCTGAACATCTTTTAAGACAATTGTAAAATATACATAAAAGTTATCTGAACCGTTTTTTTGGGTACACTAATTAGTAGTGTTGAGTACATTCAGTTGTGYAACAGGATCAACATTACTAGTCCTGCGTGCTACCAACAGAACAAAAAGGATGTCCCTGAAGTTTAAGTTGAAGAGGGGTGAGGAGGAAGAAGAGAAAGGTAAAGTGTAATACTAAGAAAAACAGCCACGGCTTTGAATGTCATTAAAACACTGCAAGGGGGGCTGGGGTTGTGGCTGAGCGGTAGTGCGCTGGCCTAGCACGCGAGACGCGCTGGGTTCGATCCTGAGCACCACATACAAATAAAYAAATAAATAAAGGTATTGTGCCCAGCTACAACTAAAAAAATATTGAACAACAACAAAACACCGTGTGGCTTGGATAAGTCATCTAACCTTTTAGGCGTTTATCTCATCATTTGAAAAACAGAGATTCTCTGTTGGTGATCGCTAAGGGCTTTTTAGTTCTCAAATCTTCTACGTAGAAAAAGACAACGGAGACCTTTCCTAAAGAGCAAAAGATGGGGCACAGCACTAGTTAGCCACAAGCTTCACCTGTTTAATAGGGTCTTGGCAAAGAGGATGCAAATTACTCCCGGGCCAGTGTTCTGTTCCTGTCTGCCACAGTGTGTCAGCCTGGCTGCTGCAACCGACCAGGTGTCCGCCGCTACCTGCGCCCCGTTCCCCCCTCGGTACCGCCAYCCGCCTTCGGACCCCCCAGTCCCGAGGTCTGCACCCGGGCGCACAGAGCAGGTGTTGGTGTTCTTGCATTGACAGCCTCGCAGGCTTGGGTGCTGGCGAGTCGCGGTGTCGCTGCAGCAGGGGAGGGCGCGCTTTGCAAGGAGGCCCGAGCGCCACTCAGAAGACTGCTTCGGTAGTTGGGAACACCACGCCAGTGCGGGACAGCTGCTGGCGTCGCCGCTGAGCTCGAGGCGAACAGCCCGCGCGCSACCAGCTCCGCAGCCGCGCTCCAGAACCCAGGCCCGGCCGAGCGTGCGCGGCGCGCCTGCGCCGTGCGTGCGCGCGCTCTCGCTGCCGGTCCGCGCTCCCCGGCGCTCGCCAAAGCTCGCGGTCGCTCTGAGGCGCGCGCCGGCGGTCCTCGGCCGCTCGGGGTACCTGAGGGACGCGCGGCCGCCTGCGGCCGGCGCCGCAGCCCTTTGGAGCCCGGCGCCCGGATCTGAGGTGAGCCCGCGGCGACGGTCCCCGGGACCGGGTGGGCGGGAAGGGCAGCGGCGAGAGCGCCGGACCAGGAGGCGCCGCGGCGGCGGGGGCTGCTCCGCCAAACCCTGCCGAGGAGCCGCCTGCAGCCCGGCGCCTCCTCCTCAGGGATCGTTATTCTCGTCGCGGCCAAAACAAAAGCCGTGGGCGCCGGGCCGTGGCTGGCGTCGGGGCGGCTTCCTGCGGGCGGCTGGGCCGCGGCGGGCCGGGGTCGCGGCGCGGAGTTTGGGGCTGGGGGCTGAGCCGGGGCTGCCCCGGGAGGCGGTCCACCCGGTCCGCCCCGCGGGCGCCGGGCAACCTGTGCGAGTGGGGACGCGGCGGCTCGCTGCACCCCGCCGCCCCGCGCGGGAGGCCGACCGGGCGAGCGGCTCCTGCGCCCCGCGCCGCGGGGGCGTCGGCGGGAGGACAATGCGCCCCGCGCCGCCCGCCCGCCCGCCCGCCCGGCGCGCCGACCGTCGCTCTTGCCCAGCCCCGCTCGCGTGAGCTCGGGGCCGACCTTTCTGTCCCGAGCCGAAAAGTTGTCCCTCCCAGCCACCAGTTTGCAAAGTCTGTGCCCCCCGAGCCTCCCGGGTGCCCCTGGCACGGCTGTGCGTTTGCCCCGGGGTGGGTGCCGCTGGGTCAGGAACACATGGCCTCCGAAATAAAGGCGCCGAGCGAGCAGCCTGAAGTGGACTTGTGTCATTCCAGAAACGTAAACATCATCCTAGAGTCCTTTGGTATCTTAGAGTCTGGGGGTCAGCTGCCTCCTCCTGTAAGAGAAAGAGGGCTTTTTTTTCCTTTTCTTTTTCTAGAAAGGGATTAAAAGAAACAAAAGTGCATGCCATTTTTTTTTTCCAGGCGGAGGAGCAGATATAAACTTGAAAAATATTATGAAGAAGGTCGGGGTTTTATCCACTGCAAAATGAGGGTTTGAATTTTGGCTTCCTTCAGAATTTAGGTCTCTGCAGCAGCAGAGCAGACCAACTGCATGTACAAGTATTCTAACAAAATCTTTTTTTGAAATTGTATTGGGGATTGAACTCAGGGACTCGTACCTGCTAGGCAGGCACTTTCCCGATAACCAACATTCCTAGCCGCCCCCCTTTCTTTTAAAGTTTTTATTTTTTAAGACAGTGTCTAGTTAAGTTGCCCCAGGCTGGCATCCAACTTATGATCCTCCTGCCTCGGCCTCTGGAGTCGCTGGGATCCCAGGTGTACGATATCACACCTTACTTCAAACAATTTTGTGTTAGAAAAGTGGTTTTGATAGACCTGGAATATTTATAACTGGAATTGGGTTACTTTGCAAAACCAATACATAGGAGAAAGGAAACAAAGACCCAGCTGACATGGAGGATGTTACCTCCCTCCTCAGCGTTTTTTTTTTTTTTTAATCCCTTAGTGGTATGTTGGTCTGCATTCTAGGCTGGAAAGAAATAGATAAATCCTTAGTTCTGTTATTACAAAGGAGGTACTCCTGACGATAATACTTCCACCTTTGCTTTTAAGCAAATCAATATAATCCTTTTCCTCCAGGAAACAGAAACATCTACTTGAACTACCAAACCACAGAATAAAGCTAAAAAGATTGTTAGGAATCTTTCAGTTAGGAAAGAAGTAGGCGTAAAAGCTTGACTCTATGGACTTAAGATAAAATATAAGCAAAAAACAGCCCTTCTCTTATTAGTAAAATAGCATGCCCCCAAGCCCCCAAAGCTTTGAAGCTATTAAGAAAATAAGTAAATTATTAATAATGCCTACCATTATACCCTCTCTTTCTTCTTACTTCTTTTTCCTCATCCACTACTAATCTTTTCTATCTCCATCACTTTCCCAAAGCTGTAACACTGTCCTGTTAATAAAAGGAGAAGAAAGGACSATGGGATCTTGGGTGCTTTCATTCCTTTTCTCATCTTCTACTATATTTCTTTGAGCTTTATTGTGTGCTTTGAGTTATTTAGGTGGATTTTTTTGGAGGGGGGATTTTGTGATTGAGATACTTGAAGTAGTGAGGGTTGACAAGAATATAAGAGCCAAGTGCACATTCTTTGTGTAGTATAATGTGAAAGCTTTATCATTGGGGAAGGAGAGAGGTTTTTTTGCTCACAATAGGTTGTCTGTTTCCCACTTGACCTACAGAAAATTATCTACCCAATTTACATTTCATATTAGTAAAAATATAAGATTTTATACTCAAAACATCTTGAGCTGTTGGTTCATTGATGTAAGATTGTTATTGACTTTATTTTCTTTAGGAGACGGGAGGCCAAAAACCTCTTTAGTAGGGGAGAATGGCGTTATCCTCAAGGTTTTTGTTTTTTTGTTTTTACCCCCGCCCAAACTCTAGAATTATGGCTGCTTAAAGCTACAGCTCTGTACAAAAAAAGCAATAAGGCATATTTTTAAAAATGACTTCAAAAATACATACTGGAGGGCTGGGATTGTGGCTCAGTGGTAGAGTGAGGCCCTGGATTCCATCCTCAGCACCACACTAAATAAATAAAAATAAAGATATTGTGTCCATCTACAACTAAAAAAATATTTWAAAAAAATACACACTGGAGATATTTTTCAGTCTAGATTGGTGAAAAGATGCTCATCCAAGTTTTGAGAAAAGAAAATAAGGTTTTCAGAAGTGGTATTTCTTAAGGGTATGAATAAATGTTTGAAGAGTAACAGCTCTTTACTGGCTAGGAAAGAGTTTTAACTATTGTGACAAAAAGGAATTCCCTCATTTGGCGTTCTAGTTAATTATGCTGAGAACTAGTGAAAGTTTGGTAAACTATTGAAAGTTTGGTGCCCCCAAGAAATGCATTGCAAATGAAATATGAGATGAATATAACTGGGCAACTAAGCATAACAAAAAAATCTGATCCCCAAATTTTATCTTAACTGAAATACTTTTGTAAGCAGGGCATACAAACCATCCAACCTTGCTAAGGAGGAGGAAGCAGGACTTGATACTTTCTAATGAAAATTCCAAGAATTTTCTGATGAACAGATTTTAATTGCAAAGGAAGCTGGGCTGGAATTTCAACCCTTTTTTTTTAGACCAGAATCTATCCATCTTTTAACTTAGTTTATTTTCAGATTAATTTTAAAAGCTCCTATGCTGTCTTCAGTCGTTGCAKTTAATAATTTGTAAATGGGACTGCATTTTGGTGCATACCATTTATTTTAATTCTGAATCTTAAATATATTTGTTTTTCATGGGGATTGAAAAATTAGATTGTTGTAATCAGATGACAAGATGGACTTCAAAAATTAAGTGAAGTAGGTAGGTCAGAAAAGAATATTCACTGTGAGATTAATAGTAATCTACATTCTATGAATTAAGTAAGAAGCTATATAAACTTTCTAATAAGACAATAAAATCCTTCAGAGAAGAAACTATTATTTAGAGGTAGTCATTGCCAATCCTTGTAATGCATTCTTAGAAAACCTGTCTGAAAGACAATATCTTTCCTTTTCCCATGGTAGCTGTTGTGAATTCAACATTTACTTTGAGACAAACTTTGGATGATATTTCTGAATTAAAAATGAAAAATTTTACCTGTATTTACAGGGTGTCAGGAAAATGAAATCTAAACCAAGAATGATGAAATGGGTTCCTTTCTGTAAAGAAATTGTTGTTGAAATAGCGTTGCTGAACATAGTCTTTTGTTATCAGACATCCTTGACATACCCTTAGGGTCCAGTTTTCTCGTAGTTTCTTCGGGGATTCAGCCTGCTTTCCCTTTCACAGTTGCTACCTCTTGCTTTTCCCACATGAGTTCTTTGGGTATGGCTTTGTTGCCACCCTGGAAGATGGTCTTCCAAAGTTGCATTTATTGCTGTCCTTCAGGACAAATATTTAGCTGATCTTATTTTAAGGGTTTTCTTTTTCCCCATTTTTTTTTATTGGTGCACAAATTGCTTTATAGCTGCACATAATGATGAGATTTGTTGTTATATATTTGTTCATGCATAAAACATAATAATATAATTTGACCAGTATAGAGCTTTTACTTTTTAATCATCAAAAGAAAACTGATAGATAATTGGGGAATATCAGATTCCTGATGTTAACATTCATAAAAATAGGAACACATAGGTTTAAAGTATCTATTCGTTTCTCTTTTTTTTTCTTTCTTTCTCTCCCCTCACTATGATGGGAGATAATCCCAGGGATTTGTACGTTCTAGACAAGCCCCTATACCTCTAAGCTACATGCCCAACTCTAGTCCTTTTTATTTTCTGATGTGATGTTAACCAAGTAACTTAATAGTTTTCAACATATTTTATATTGTTCTGTGGAGAAGTAAAAATTTCTCTTTTTCCATAGCTAGTTCATGACCAATTATTGTCACAGCATTCACTTTTTCTTTTCTTTTTTTGAGGGTGGGGTGGGGTGTGCTGGGGTATTGAACCCAAGGGCACTTTACTCACTGAGTTACATCCTTACCCCTTTTTACTTTTATTTTGAGATAGGGTCTTGCTAAGTTGTTGAAGTTCATGATGAGTTGCTAAGGCTGGCCTTGAATTTGTGATCCTCCTGCCTCAGCCTCCCAATTGCTCTGATTAGAGGCATATACCACCATACCTGGTTTTTAGCATTCATTTTTGCCTGGACCTTGATGCCTGAAATTGCTCRCTTGGGTTTTATTAACCCAGTAGGTCCCTTTATTCAATTGAAATGCTACAGATTTTTGAAATTTAAGAATATGATAATATCAGTAAGAAAGCCCTAAACAGCTATTAATGAGTTGCTATATTTTGGCAAGATCTTTTTGGGTCCAGAATCTTCTCTGTGTCTTATGTCTGGAACTTTAATTTAGAGCTTTTTCATGGATGACCATCCCTTAGGAAAAGTGGCATACTCATATAATCCTCATTAGAAGCAGTTATTTCATTATGTTATTGAGGAACAATTTGAAATATGTATGAGAAGTTTTTAATAATGTGTATTCCATTTGATTTAGTTAATAGGTGATCTGACTTTTTTCCAGTGTTGAAAAATAAAAGTTTTGAATCATACTGAATTGATCATCACATTTTTGCTTATTACCCATAGTAGGACAGGTAGTGTGTACCTTGGCTTATTGCTTTAATTAGCAACCAATAATCTATTCAGCTAGTATTTATTCTTGTCAGCTAGTCAGAACACATTTATAGATTTTGCAGTTAATTATTCCATATATGAAATAATGTAACATGGATTTTTTTTATAAAATTACATAGAGCATTTATATTATTATTMTTTAGGTAAAATTTTTTATTTTTTTTATTTGTTCTAATTAGTTATGACATTAGAATGCATTTTGACATATCATACATAAACGGACTATAACTTCTCATTCTTCTGATTGTACATGATATAAAATTACACTGGTCATGTAATCATATATGCTCATTCATTCTACTGTATATTATTTTTAAATAATTGAAATAGTTTTATTATAGTCCTTGCACATATTTTTCTAACAAACTGGGTTTTATACGTATATATGTACATGTATATATATGTTTTGTAAACTACTTTTTATTTATTTATTTTTTACTCATTGTCATAATATTATCATGTCAATAAATATAGGTCTATAGGTCTATCTTTTTTGTTGGGGAGTGCAAGTGCTGGGGATTTAACATAAGACCTTGCTCATATTAAGCAACCTACTGCAGTCAGGCTTTTTATTTTTAGTAACTATATAATATTCTATTATGCAATTATAACATAATTTATTTGGTTAATTCCTTTTTTTTTGATAGAGAGAATTTTTAATATTTATTTATTTAGTTTTCGGCGGACACAACATCTTTCTTTGTACATGGTGCTGAGGATCGAACCCGGGCCACACGCATGCCAGGAGAGCGCACTACCGCTTGAGCCACATCCCCAGCCCTTGGTTAATTCCTTATTGGTAGACTCTAAGGTTGTTTACTTTTAATACCTTTGTTTTATTTATTTATTTTTATGCAGTGCTGAGGATCAAATCCAGGCCCTCACACGCTCTAGGCAAGCGCTCTACTGCTGAGCCACAACGCCAGTCCCTGTTTACAGTTTTTTGTTGTAAACAATGTTATGATAAAATTTAATTTTGTATCGTGCACTCGTGTGTTTGGTTTTTTTTTTTTTTTTTTTTTTTTTTTTTGGTACCAGGGATTGAACTCTGGGTACTTAATCACTGGGCCATATCCCCAGCCCTATTTGTATTTTATTAGAGACCTCTCACTGAGTTCCTTAGCGCCTCGCCGGTTACTGAGGCTGACTTTGAACTTGTGATTCTCCTGTCTCAGCCTCCTGAGCCACTGGGATTATAGGCATGTGCCGCCATGCTCAGCTTATACTAATGTGTTTATCTTCTTAGAATAAATTATAAAATAGATTTGCTGGATCAAATTATGCACATTTTAAGTACTTTTAATATAAGTAGTCATTTCTTAGTGTCAAGTAATTTACATTGCTTTTGAAAGTAGTTGAAAATTTCTTTTCCTTATACTCTCTCCTGTATTGTGTTTATTTTTGCCCATTTGATTAGCAAAAAACATTATCTTATGCTTTCATTTTTTATTATTAATGTATTAATGTAATGAAAATTCTTTACTAAGATCTTTAATCTGCCTATTTTCTTTTTTCTCACTGCATTCCACTGTTCCCTCCACCCCTTTGTAATAATCATGAACTACAGTCTTACCATATTAAGATTATTGTCTTTCTGTAGTTTTAAAGATTTGCAAAAGTATTTTGAAACTGGGTGCAGTGGTGCATCCCTGTAATCCCAGCTATTCGAAGGCTGAGGCAAAAAGATCACAAGTTCAAGGCCAGCCTGGACAATTTAGGGGGACACTGTCTCAAAATAAAAATTTTTAAGAAATTTTTTTTCAGTAATAATGCCCCTGGATTTAATACCTAGTACTAAAAACTAAAAACTAAAATCTATAAGTTAAAAAATAAAAGAAATTCTAAAAAGCATTTTTATGTAAGTGATTTGGACATTGTAATACATAAGGAAACACATAAGCCCACATGAAGCTGGACTGGGATTGTGGCTCAGTGGTAGAGCACTTGCCTAGCATGTGTGAGGCACTGGCTTCAATTCTCAGCACCACTTAAAAATAAATAAGGGAATGTGTCCATTTACAACTAAAAAAATATTTTAAAAAAGAAGAAGGTCAGAAGCATCACGTAAAAGTAAGGCAAAAGGAATAATTGAGAAGAAATCAAGTAAAATAAATGAAGTAAATAGAAGAATAAGGACGTATTTCATGTGGTTTTAAAAATGCAAAAAGGTATTACTTAATTTCTTCCTCAAATTTTATGTAATTAGTCTTCTTTTAACCATATGAACCCATAAATGCTTGAAAAAGAGACTAGTTTAAATGAAATGTTGAAATTCTTGGTTTTGTAGTATTCATAGCCAAAAGGGAGCAATGTTCCCTTAATTTTCTTTTTTTTCTTGCAAGTAGATAAACATGCTGCACAGGCAGTAAACTACCAAGACTGAACTTACATAGATGTTTTAATGTATAATCAAATAAAGCTTTCAACAATTATTTGACAATTAATAATATGCATAATCAGTACCATGCTGTGAGGTAATTAAGCTTAAACATGTTTTTATGTTTAATATCAGTTATGTTTAATATCAGTTTAATAGCCAGATCTCAACATTTCTGGGATTATCTTAAAGGAGAGAAAGGAAAAAAAAAAAAAAAGACCAAGAATCTGTCACAGAAATCTCTGGCTTAAAGTATAAGGAGATTTAGACTTTTTGAGCAGGACCATAAATAACCTTAGTGTTTCTAATTCTGGAGACCAAAGACTTCCTTTTCCCTTCCATCATTTAAGACCATCTTCTAGAAATTTGGAAGATTGAGCCACTGTTTTGTTTTCTCCAAATACTTTTCTACCTGGAGCTGGGGATACAGAGGTCCCAGTCATTGATAATCAGTGCTAAAGGACAAATTCTTTCACTGTTCAAGCTAAGCTGGTTTTTAGGACTCAAGTTGTAAGGTCTCATGGCTATTTGAGTTAGTATTTTAGTTGTCCTGTTAACCTGAGTCTCTAGGAATATCTGAATCTGAATTTCTCATCTTTTCTTTTTTTTTTAGAATTATGATCAGCATTTATTGAACACTATTGATGTATTTCTCATCTTTTATTAACTTTGGCCGCCTGTAAGAAACACAAGAATATCCAATGCATAAGAAACAAAATTGAATGAAAACAAAGTTAGCATCATTGCTAAACCAAATCAAATGTGAATATCTTAGAATATGCTTTTTTCATACTACACTTGCTCCATGCACATTCTTTTCAGCACCAGTTGAGCATCACATGTATTGTCACCTTGGGAAAGTAGAGGCAAAGTCAAGAGATTCTAAAGCTCAGTGGAAAGAATAACTGGGAATCATTCCTATTTTAGGGATGATTTCTGTTCTCTGGAGCCTGGCTGTGTGTAATGGCTGTTCATTAAATGTTTGTAATTCAAGGTCTGTATCTCTCGTTTTAAATTTTTGTGCTATCTAAAAAGACGATATAGTGTTGAGAAAATTACTCATATTACTTTTAGAACCTTCTATTTGTCAGTTCATTATTGGTTGATAGAAGTAGCATCTTGATCAACTGTAATTCAGTAATAAAAATACCTAATGTTTTATAATGTTTTACTATTTATAAAGTACTTTTGCATACATTATCTCATAATTCACTCATATATCATCTTGTAAGAAAAGTGGTGGTGGAACATTTCCAGGAAGAAAAATTATGGGTTCATAGAAGTTAAATGATATGTTATGTTCACACAGCTATAAGAGGCTTATTAAATTTATCTTTTGTTTTATTTTTCAAACCTTTCACAGATCCCTTCTGCCAAATCAGTTCATGTAAAAACTGTACTATTAATGATTAAAACACATAATACATTTTAAATTCAATTATTTAGGTTACAACAAATGTTTAAGTAAAACTTAGGACAAAAGCATAAGAATTTTTTAAAGTGAATCAGTTATATCTTGACAAATGAAAGATTGCCTCCATGGACAAGAAGGTAAACCATGTGTTTCTATAAGCAACTGAAGGAAGAAAATCAAATTTGTTTGTTTAATGCTATTTAAGGACAGTTTTAGCATATCTATAGCACAAATGATAAAGTAGAAAAACTATATTGTATTTTTGTGAGGTACCCATGATTTTATCTATTAGAACAGTATGATGTCTCATCAAACATTTTAATGTTAAGTGCACAATATTTTGAGAGGAAATGACTAATTTCTCCCATTTTTAAAATAATTCTTTCAGATATTTCAATCAAAAGAAGAAATAGCTCTTCTCCTAAGATGGAATCTGTGATTTGGGAATGTGGTTGATCAACTTGATATGTTGGCCAAATGTGCCCTATGTAATAAAACGAAAAGAAGAGACAAGATGATGTCATTTGCCTGTGTTGTGAAACCAAAAACAAATGCCTTTTGTGAGACCAAGCTAACAAACCTCTGATGGTACAAAGAGTATTTAACTTTTGAAGAACTTAACAGTAAGATATAGAAGAAGTACTTTCAAGCTGAGACCTGCAGGTGTATATTGATCTAAAATATATACTGAGTAGGCCTGATCATCTGAATTTCATTCAGATCAAGGAAGAATGGCTATGAGTTGGATGGTCTTCTCTCTTTGGCTCTTGACTATGTTTGTGGGGCATATAAGTGGGCACAGTTTGTTTTCTTGTGAACCTATTACGTTGAGGATGTGCCAGGATTTGCCTTATAACACTACCTTCATGCCTAACCTTCTGAATCATTATGACCAACAGACAGCAGCTTTAGCAATGGAGGTAAGACTTGATCTGTCCTTTAACATATCTCAGAAAATGATATTACCCTGTCATCTAATGTGTTTGATGARTAATAGGAAAATATGCTATTTTAAACTATTTCATGTACATATAAAAATTAATAAATTTTGGTTCAGTCTGATGGATTGAAGAATTCCTATATAGGAATGCTACTCCAGATTTACTTTCCAGACATTATACTTTTACAAAGAAATTTGAAACACTAGAATATGGGAGATAATAGTCATTCAGAAGTTTAAAATTGTCTAAGTTATAACATGATTACATCCCTCTTATTTGGCTAATAAAAACTTCAGATAAAGAGCATATTCTAATAACATGCATAGTTAAGTCATTAAGTATTGAATATAATGTAATTTTTTTTTAAAGAATGAGTTCTTTTGTTCTGCCTTTAAACTTAACAATCTTTGAGTTTTTTTAAATATTCAAGATGATTTCCTGGTCATACYGTGTTCATATCAGTGTAAGAACAACTCTCAAATTAAAAAAAAWTTGTTATATGGATTTTCTGTTATTGATTTCTCAGATTTTATGAGAAGTTTTTGTCTTATTTGAATTTTTAATAGTATTTTTAGGCACTTCTTAATGATTTTACTTTAGAAACTAACAAATTAATGGTTTTAGTTAATGATAGGTTTAAATATGTGTTTGTGACTCTGTAATGGTTTTAGAATTGAGGACACAGATGTATGTGCCAGGTAAGAACTGGGAGGCATGGTAAGGAGCTTTGGAGTTAGACAACATAGGTTTGAATTATAGCTTCACTACTTTCTAGCAGTGTTACAAGTTAATATGAATTTTCCCACCATAGTTTCTTTCTTTATAAAATAAGATCACACAGGCTTTTGTAATGTAAAATAAAAATACATCTATAATACTGTAAATACTCTATGATAGTTTTTGCCATTTTTCCATATTATCATATTAATATGCTATATAGATAGTATAATTTAGAGAGAATGTCTTATACTTTTGCCTTTAATCCATTGTGCTTTCAGCAAATGCAGCGTACACGTTTTGGAATTTTTCATTGTATAATAAAAGTCAAATGTTATTTCAAAGTAGATTAAAATAAATCTGGGAAATTTTGTAGATTATTATTCATAGATTTTGCAGTGTGAGGGGCATCTCTTATATATTCGAAATACTTGAAGATGTTTTAGAAAATATTTTCTGCTCTTCCTCTGACTACACAAGGTCTAACTAGTGAACAGAGAGATTTGGTATAGATTGTCAGGTTAGGTTATGTGACAAGGGGGTATTGGTTAAATACAGAAAATTAGCTCCAGCCATAGTAGTCTTTGTTATGTATTAAAGTTATTGATTTTTCTCCCCCCCAAATTGAKTTAGAAATACCTTTGTTTCTAGTATCATTGTAAGTTATAACTTTTGTAAAGCAAATAGGGTAGTAAGAAACTAGGCATGAAGCTGTTTTTTTTTTCTTATTTATTTTTTAGATGTTGGTAGACCTTTATTTTATTCATTTATTTATATGTGGTGCTGAGAATTGAACCCAGTGCCTCATACGTGCTAGGCAAGAGCTCTACTACTGAGCCACAACCCTAGCCCCTAGCTTTTATACTAACTTGCGTTCAACTTTTAGCTCTGCTGTGCAGTAAGCTTAAGACTTTGGACAAGTTACTAAACATTCTTGAACCTTGTTTTCTTAATATGTGAAAGGCAATAATAACACCTGTGATTTATGAAGTAGCACAACACCTAGTACACAATAGGTGATCTGCAAATGTTAATTCTATTCCAAATTCTTTTTCTAAATGAACTTGTATCTTCATTTTTCTAAATGAACTTGTAGGTTCATGGGGCATTCATAATGATGGTCTGGTAGGCGTTCTCTACCTCTTCACACATATGCTCAAAAAAGTCTAGATATTTTGTGGGCAGTGGATGCCTCTGTTTGAATTTCAAACTAGATTTTGCAGTGTGAGGAGAGCTCCTAAGGGGGCAGTAGTTTCTAAGAGAGAAAGTTTCCAATGATTTGAAGCAGTGTTGGAGATACTTGCTTATTGCATGGTTGTCATATTAGGAACATGATGCCCCTGATAAGAAGAAAAGAATCCTGAAACAGTTTAAGAGTGTAAAGTTTCTGTAATAGCAAAAGACATGGAAACTCATTGGACAGCACGACATGTGCATAGCTGCTGATGACACCTCTTCATCTCTTTCTCTGCTGATCTTGGAACTTTGGGTATGTCTGCTAGCTTTTACCAGGAGCAAGTAATTAGAGCAAACAGTCCCAGCTCACTGGAGACTAGATAAACTGAAAGATAGTTCCCTAGCTATAGCATTAGCAAGCCCAGGCTTTAAGCCCATCTGGAACAGTAAGCTAGGCATACCAAGAATGAGAGAAATTACAAAATCTGAATTATTTTAGATTTGATTATTCACAAGAGGTTGGATCTTCTCACATTGTATAAATGGATTCCTAATCTGTACTTTCTTTCAGTTGAAAGTGGGACATAGTTAAATAGGGTTAAGTATCAACCCATTAAATTGAAATTGATTATAAGTACCAAATGAGATATATGAAAATTATTTTTTAAAATAGCAGTGCCTACCCAGAAGATGAAAGCATGATAGATGTTCACAAGTTAACTCTCATTTTTTCTCCTAGCCTTATTATTCTCTTCAGAAGCTGTTCATCACAATTGCACAGAATGTCTTCGCATTACTTGAACCTACCAAGTTTTTGTAAATGCTGTCTTTGCCATGAAGGCTATTCCAGTATTCCTATCGGTGATCTCTCACTTACTTTTCAAAACTTGRTTTTGTTGTTGCTTCTTTGAAACCTAGGATGTTCAAAGTCTATGGCTCTTTCCTCCACACTTACCAGTATGCTTTATATGTACCCGTGTTCTGATGTGTGCATTATTATGTTAGAATTTTTTATATTTTTATTCTTCCTAGTAGAATTTCAACTTCATGGAAGCAGAGCTTGTCCATGTTCATCTTTCTATCTCTAGTATTTAATATAGAGACTTACACATAGTAAATGCTTAACATAGAGCCTCACACATAATAGATGCTAAATAAATGTTTGAATTAATTTCACTGTAAATCCTTTAGAGGTGACGGTGGTCAAGATTGTGTTGTACTTAAACTCTTAATCTTATGGGGTTAGAAATAGTTTGGTGGGGATGGTGATGTTATTATAATACTAAGTGACTACACGTTTGTGAACACTAGTATGTCACTTTTTCTTATTTTTCAAAGTGACTTGAAGCTTTCAACATTGTGTTTGCATTTATAATTGGTATAATTAAATAAAGGAACAACAGAACAGAATTTTCCCTTCTCTAGACTTATGTCAAAATTCTTTTGTACTCAATTCACTGTTTAGAGTCAGTGGTGGACTGGGGTTGTGGCTCAGTGGTAGAGTGCTTACTTTGCATGTGTGAGGCACTAAGTTCAATATTCTAAATGAAGGTATTGAGCCCATCTACAACTAAAAAAATGTTTTTTAAAAAAAGAGTCAATGGTAGGGCTGGGGATGTGGCTCAAGCATCACATACAAAAAAGATGTTGTGTCCACCAAAAACTAAAACAAATAAATATTAAAATATTAAAATTCTCTTAAAAAAAAAAGAGTCAATGGTAGAGGCTGGGTTTATAGCTCAGTGGTAGAGTGCTTGCCTAGCAATCGCGAGGTCCTGGATTCAATCCTCAGCACCACATAAAAATAAATAAATAAAAATGTTATGTCCATCTACAACTAAAAAAAATATTTAAAAAAAAAGAAGAAAAAGGAAGAAAAGTCAGTGGTAGCCAGGTTGAGGGGTGCCTTTAATCCCAGTAGTTTAGGATGCTGAGGCAGGAGAATAGCAAGTTCAAAGCCAGCCTCAGCAACTTACGAGAGGTCCTAAACAATTTATTGAGATCTTCTCTCAAAATAATTTTATAATGAGGTCTGAGGATGTGGCTCAGTGTTGAAGAGCTTCTGGGTTCAGTCCCTGGTACCAAAACACACACACACACACACACACACACACACACACACACACACACACGTATCATTCTGGTTTTGTTGAAAAAAGTATATTCATGTTCATGTAGAGTAAGTGATCTGGTAGGATTTCCATTAAGACAACTGTGGTTATTTCTGAATTAACAGTTTGTGTTTGCTATGTTCTTCATTTAATGTTTGTATTTTCTTTTTCTTTCTTTTTCATTTTTCAGTATTGGAGATTTTACCCAAGGCCTCATGCATGCTAGGCAAATGCTCTACCACTGAGTTACAGCCCTACCCTGTAGTGGCTTTTTCTTATTTTTCTGTATGAAACACATTGTGCTTCCCCATCTCCACCCCACCACTACACAGCTGGTGCTGGAGATTGAACCAAGGGCCTAGTACAGGCTAATAAACATGTGCTCTACTACTTAATTTCACCCCTAGCCCATACATTGTGSTTTTAAAACACTAATATTAGTAAGGACGTTTTAGTTTTAAAAATTTGAACTGTCCTGTTTTGTTCCTCTTTCAGGGCAGCGCCTAAGACATAGTATTCATTAAATATATTTTGATTGAATGACTGTAGTGTAAGGAAGAACTTGGTGTTACAAAAGGCATGAAGTGCTTTCAAAGAGAAGGATCATGTGGAGGCTTTAAGTTGTAGATGGTCAATTGGACTTTAAAATTCAGATAGGGTTTTTTGTTTATTTTTTAAGAGACTAGTATAATGTACCTCATGTAACAATTATTCTGGGCATTCTGGGCAAGCACTCTATCTCTGAGCTACATTCCTTAACTCTGAAGGGTMTTTAGAAGCCTGTTTTGTGATCAGAGTAAACCAACCAGAATGAAGTTGTTTCTAAATTGAAAAAATGTACTCACAAGTAGTGGAGAATTATTTGCACCTGACTTTAGGGGGGAAAAAAATCAGCTTTTGAACATTTTTATTCATTTTTTTAGTGTGACAAATCAGTTTAAAGGAATTACCTTAAAAATAATTTGCCTGGGCTGGGATTATGGCTCAGCGGTAGAGCGCTTGCCTCGCACGTGCAAGACCCTGGGTTTGATCCTCAGCACCACATACAAAAATAAACAAGTGAAATAAAGGTATTGTGTCCAACTACAACTAAAAAGTAAATACTAAAAAAAATTTTCCATATTTTTAATTTATTTTTATCTTTATTGGTACTGGGTATCAAATCCAGGGGTGCTTTACTTAACCACTCAGCTACATCCCCAGAACTATTTATTTTTTTATTTTGAAATGGTGTCTTGCTAAGTTGGTGAGGGTTTTGCTGAGTTGTTGAAGCTGCCCTTGACCTTGGGATCTTCCTGACTCAGCCTCCTGAGACTATGGGATTATAGATATACACCACTGTCTCCAGCAAAAATACTTGTTTTAAATTAAATTATTAGAAGTAGTGAAATTCGGTTTGCAAAGTTTTATTTTTAAGACATGCCATATGGGCTGGGGATGTGGCTCAAGCGGTAGCGTGCTCGCCTGGCATGCATGCTGCCTGGGTTCGATCCTCAGCACCACATACAAACAAAGATGTTGTGTCTGCCGAAAAACTAAAAAATAAATATTAAAATTCTCTCTCTTAAAAAAAAMCCTATTAATTGATTAAATAATGGGCTGGGGATAAATCTATATATAAAAAAAAGACATGCCATAATTTATGATTCTCCATGATATTGGAAATATTAAAAGTTTACTTCCTAAAAAAAAGTCAAATTTATGGACTGAGTATGAAGGTGAATAGGTTCCTGTGATAGTGGTGAATTCTACAAACCAACTCACTGAAAGACTTTTGGAAAGTACTTACACACTGTCATAGGACACTTAAAAATTAAGGTTAGGAAAAAAAATTCTAAGATTAGAGGATTATTTTGTAGATGCAAATTAATAAAGTTTTAAACCTTTTTTCATTAGAGACTATTGTTCCAGAAAGGGAGTTTTTAAGCTTTTATTTTATTTGCTTAAAGTCATTCTAAAAAGTTGTTTTTAAATAATTTCTTACTCTAATATGAATACCATTTTTTAATTTTCAAGGCAATTCCACATTCGATTTCTCAGTTAGTGAATTTAGTCATAATATTCCCAAACCCAGTAGGGTGCAGTTTCCATGGTTACCATACTCTTTGTAAAGTGACAAAGGTTGGAATTCTGATTCTCTTGAGTCAAATTTTGGCCTTTGACTCTGTCCCCTTTTCACACTCCTTCCTAAGCTTGGGTTGTTGCTATGCTTGGAGGTTTGTCAGCTAGCAGGTTCCTATGGTAACAGGAATGGAAATTTGAAAGAAGAATGAATGGGAGCACAAAGGCTTGGTTGATTTGAATTTGAACAAAGAATGCAAGGTTCCATGTAGTGCACCTTTGTTGTAGAAACCAGAAATTTAATTTTAGAAAGTTACTTTCCAGTTTGTAAACTTCTTATACCCTGGTCTTGATTTAGTGAACAAAAGTATTACTGTTTAGGGAAATAGTAAGAACCTTTAAAATTCAATCAGCTAAAGTTCTCTTTTTTTACTTCATAGAACTTTAATAGTATTCTTTATGTTATGTACTTGTTATTGACTTTTAAGTGTCCAGGGTGCCAATTTAATTTTGATTTTGTTGTGGTTTAAAATTGTTGGTAAAGTTAAAATCAAGGCAATTTGCTTATTTGAAAAGTATTATTTTGATTTGTTTTTATATAAGCTTTGTTGAGGTGTGTACACGATAAGCTGCACTCTTAAAAGTGTTCACTTCCATGAGTTTTTGACCAAGCATGTGATACCACCACCACAAAGTACAGAACATTTCTGCCACGTCAAAAGCTTCCTTATGTTCCTTTGTAGTCCATCCTTCTTTCTGCTCACTGTTCCAAAGCAAATCAGTGATCTGTTTTCTGTCATTATGAATTAGTTTTCATTTTCTAGAGTTTTATATAAATGGAATTATAGCATCTACATTTTTATGTCTTGTTTCTTTTACCCAGCATTACGATTTTGAGATTTATGTTTTGTTTTGCTTTTTAAGAGAAAACTAAAACGTAAGTTAAGTAGAACAAATTGGTTAAGTATAAGGACTGGATAAGAATGCCAAAGTTTCTATGCCTTATTTTTTACATGTGTATCATAGAATGAGATTAGTTTTAATAGTATCCCTTACGGAATTGTAAGAAAAAGAGAACTTTAGCTGATTGATTTGAAATGAGGTAACGCGTATAAGGCTTTTTCAGCAATTGCTGTCCTACAGTGTCAGTAAATGCTAAGATACAGCCCAAAGTACTTTAGGCTAGTAATTAGCAAAAGCATAAACTCGTAGCTTTAGGCTCAGTGCATGCAGCACAAAATAGTCATTTATGGAAATTTTGTAATTCATGATGGGGTTCCCAGATGGAAGTTTGGTTAACATATTAACATACCAAACAAGTTGAAGACTGAAATCATACATGTGCATAAGTATATGAATTATGTACATATATTATGTACATATTGGATTCACCAGAAGTTGCAAAAATAGTACAGACATTCTGTTTACCCTTGTCTGTTTCCTGCCCCATTCTTACCATTTTATGTAACTATAATATACTATCAAAACCAGGATATTGATTCTGTTTATAGACCTTATCACATTTCATCAGGTTTTAGGTGTTTGTATTGTCTGTGTATAATTGTGTGTGTGTACATGTACAGCTCTGGTCATTATCATTTTAGCACATGCATAGATTTCTGTAACTACTGCTGTAATAAAGATACAGAGTATTCTGTCACCTCCAAGGAACACTCTCGTGCTTCCTCTTTTTTCTTCCCCTTTCCTAATCCCATCAACCATTAATCTGTTCTTCCTCTCTAAATTTTGTTATATCAAGAATGTTGTATACTTGTGTCTTGAACCATTTTGTGCTGCTATAACAGAGGCTGAGTAATTTGAGTCTTCTTGCTATGTTTATGCCACGGCAGAAGTGGAAGGTCAAAAAGGGGCAGTGAGAGAACAGGTACACACGTATTTGTGAAAGGGGGTCAAACTCATTCTTTTATAAGGAACCGGTCCTGCAATAACTTAACAGTAACAGCATAAATCCTTTCATGAGTCAGAACATGCAGAGCCTACTTACCTCTTAAAAGGCCCAGGTCTTTTTTTTTTTTTTTTTAAAGAGAGAGAGAGAGAGAGAGAGAATTTTTTTTTAATAATTATTTTTTAGTTCTCGGCAGACACAACATCTTTGTTGGTATGTGGTGCTGAGGATCGAACCCGGGCCGCACGCATGCCAGGTGAGCGCGCTACCGCTTGAGGCACATCCCCAGCCCAAGGCTCAGGTCTTAATCCTGTAACAGTGATAATTTTCTAGCATGCTTTTTGGAGATCACATTCAAAGGATGTCTTTTGAGATTGGCTTCTTTCTCTTAGTATAATGCTTTTTATATCCAATCAAGTTGTTACATGTCTCAATTTTTGCTTTTAATTGCTGAATAGTATTCCATTTTACAGATATGCCACAATTAGTTTAACCATTTACCCACTGAAGGACACTTGGGTTGTTTCTGGCAGTTTGCTATTACAAATAAAGCTGCAATGAATATTTGTGGACAAGTTTTTGTATGAACGTAACTTTTCATTTCTCTGGGAAATGCTCAGGAATATGATTGCTGGATTGTATGGTAAGCATATGTTTGGGTTTTTAAGAAATTGTTTTAACTGTTTTCCATAGTGGCCATAACATTTTACATTCCCATCAGTAATATATGAGAGATCTGCTTTCTTTCCACTATTTGGTATTATAACTAATTTTTAAAAATTTCCTCTGTAATAATATATCATGTGGTTTTAATTTTCATTACTCTAATGTCTAATAAAATTGAACATATCTAGGTGTTTATATGTCATTCATATATCTATCTTTTGCTCATTTTCCAAGTGGATCTTTTCTTTTTTAATTTGAGTCTTGAGGGTTCTTTATATATTCTGTGTACAAATCTTTGATATCATGAGATTTGGAAATAGTTTATTCCAGTTCATAACTTGCCTTTTCATCCTTTTAACATGGTCTTTAGGAGAATAAAAGTTTTCAATTCTAATGAAGTCCAGTCTACCAAATTTTTTTTTAAATTATGAATTGTGGTTTTTGGTTTCATTTCTAAGAACCTTTCACCTTCCCCTAGGTCTTGAAGATTTTCTCTTTTTAAAAAAAAATTTTTATAGTTTCATAGTGAAATCTGTGATAAATTTTAAGTTAAGTCAGGCGTGGTGCATGCTAATAATCTCAGTGACTCAGGAGGCTACAGGAGGATTGCAAATAACCACTGTGTATAACTTCTTGCCTTTTCCCTCTTTTTTCTTCTTTTAGTGCTTGTCCTCTTTCCATTTAATGTATATTAATTGAAAAATATATTCTGGTGTATACCTCAGACTTAACCAAATCAGAATTTTCAGGGGTAGAGTTAAAAGGGTTTTATTTAAACAAAACAAAACAAAACCAAAACTCCTCTTTAGAAGTTTTTAATAATCTTTTTTTCAAGGTGAGTAAAAATGAAAGTTGAAATATTACAAAAGCTTTAACTTGTATACAGTTATTTATCTAATTATTCAATTTTATTTTCATAGCCATTCCACCCAATGGTGAATCTGGATTGTTCTCGGGATTTCCGGCCATTTCTCTGTGCACTCTATGCTCCTATTTGTATGGAATATGGACGTGTCACACTTCCCTGTCGTAGGCTGTGTCAGCGGGCCTATAGTGAGTGTTCGAAGCTCATGGAGATGTTTGGTGTCCCTTGGCCTGAAGATATGGAATGCAGCAGGTATGAAAATCATAGACTTCCATTGGTTATTATGCAGCGGTGTGTTTCTAAGCATTTCCTAAACATTTGACGATTATTAAACATTCTTATAGTTTTGTATGAGTAAACATTAGAACAATGTTGTATCCTGTTGTATTCTGAAATAGTTCAAGTATAAAAAATAATAAGATGAAATCCTATGTACCTGTGATTATCTAGCTTTGTCCAGTATTAAAGTTTTGTAATGTTTATTTCAGATTTAAGAAGTTAAAACAGTGTAGGTACATTTGGAGGTTCTTTATTGGTAATTCTCTTGACCTCATACCCTTCTTCCTTCCCAGGGGTGAATTTGTTGTTAAGCATTTCTACGTTTGGTTTTATACTTAGTACATTATATACCTATCCACAAACAACATACTTTTTTTTTTTTTTTTGCATGTGTCTATCTGTATCTGTTGGTCTGGTTCATTCCTCTTAACAGCTAATTAAAAGCTAATATCCTGTAGTTGACTTTGTAATATACTATAGCTATTTAGCCACCTGTTGTCATTGTGTTGTTCCCAGGTTTTTGTTAAGAGCAATATTGATTTTTCTTTCATTTTTAAAAATAATTGTGTTTGTGATCTAGCAATAGCTGGTGTGCTGGTATGGCGGGTCAACAGAGCAAGAGGGGCAAACTTCCTTTTATGAGGGCTCTGCCTTTGTGACTTAATCACTTCCCCCAAAGGCTCCACCTCAGTGGGGTTTAAGTTTCAGTGCATGATTTTGGGGAGACATTTAGGCCATAGCACCATTCTTCAATTTTATGGACATTCTCAGACTTTTTATTTTTTTGTTCTAAATAGCGTCCTTCCTAATCTCATTCACTTCTTTATTTCACTTAAACTTTGTCATCTGTCTATTGAAATAGCACTTTTGTTTGCAATTTCAGCTCATTCTTTCCATTTGGGATTGTTCAGATATGCAAATGGACTGATCTAATCAATTTCTTATAATTATGATATCTACTTAATGATTTTCAAGCCACAGCAATTCTATTTGATTTTTGTAACTATTTCTCTTTGTCTGTAAAATTTCTGTTCATTTCCCCTCTAACACCTGTGCCAAATCTGTAGTGCTTACTTCAAGCCCATATCTCACCTTTCTTCCCCTCAACCTCTGCCTATCCTGCTTTCCTGAAAATTATATAGACCATCTTGTGTGATCTGCTATATCTCAAACCAGTCCTTCTCAATTTCTTTCTTCTATCTTCTTCCTCTTTCTGTCACTTGCACATTGGTGCTTCCCAAATTTTATCTCTTGTTTTATTTGATTCTACAGCTTTCTCTGGAAACAAATTTCACTAATTTTAAACTTTTATTTGTATGGCTGTTGACTCTTAAACCTGTATCTGTAACCGTGATATCTCCCTYCTAAGTTCCAAACTTGCATATCCATCAGCAGTCGCAAATCGTAATCCAAATTTGTCTCATCTCCATTTCAGCATGCCTGAAATTTTATTTCTGGGCTCTTTTTTGTTTTTAATAACCTGGAAGTCATTTTCTGTTCTTCCTTCATTGACTTCAACCCCCACATGCAATCAGTTATAAATTTTGTTGCTTTTATCTGTTTGCATATATCTTATTCTCATTACCTTTCTGGCTTTATTTGTTTTAGTTTATTTTTAAAATTCATTCTATTCTAACTGATCTCCCTGCCCCCTTTTTCATATAGCTCAAATCTGTCTTCCTTACTCCTCCTAGTTATCTTTTTGATTACTTGCATTAGGGTTATATGAATATATTCAATTAATGTCCATTAGTGCAACAAATATTAAGTGAATGTCTTGGTGTGCCAGACACTATACTAATGTTGAAAATGAGCCATGAACAAAAATTAAGTCCCTGTATTTATGGAGCTAAAATTCTGGTGGTGGTGGTAAGTAGACTTCAGGGGAAGGCTTTATGATAAGGAGGCTTTAGACCAAGGACCTAAATGAAGTGAGAGAACAAATGATACAGATATCTGACAGTCTGAGCAGATGAAACAGTAGCAAGTGCAGAGGCTCTGAAGTTGGAAGCATGCTTAGAAAATTCAGAGAATAGAAGACCAAAGAGGCTGGAGCCAGGTGAGTGAGGGAGAATGGAAGGAAATAAGATCAGAAATTTGGGGATTAAGGATCTATAATAGCTGCTAGGGAATTTGGATTTGACTCTGAATGAGATGAGAAACCAGGAGGTTTTGAGCAGAAGAGTTATGATTATGGACTTATAAGTTGCTTGTCTTTAAAGGTTCACTCTGGGGCTGGGGATGCAGCTCAGTGGTAGACACTCACCTAGTATGCTGGAGGCCCTGGGTTTGATCCTCAGCACTGCCAACAAGGAAAAAAAAATTTTGCTCTGGCTGTCATGTAGAAATGAGGAATTTGGACATGGCCCCCAGAAGTCTAAGTAAGTGGTACTGATGTCTCAGACTAGGTAGTAGCAGTGGAGGACAAGAGAACTAGTCAGATTCTGGATATCTTGCAAAGTAGTGACAGAAATTACTGGTAGATTGTGACATAAATGAAAGAAGGGACTTCGAGGATAACCCCAAGGCAACAGGAAAAATGGAATCACCACTTACTGAGGAAACCTGAGGCATGGAAGTCAAGTGTTTGATATTAGAAGAGTTAAAGATTGAGGTGCCTATGAGATGTCCTAGTTTATATATTTCCTTGACCATTTGTGGATACAAATATACCTGTAGAAAATAAATAGCTTTACTTTGTATGGTTGTAAATTTTATATCAGCATGCATACACACATTTTTACAATGTTCATACCTCTCTAACCTCATCTGTAACAAGCCATTCACTGATACAAAACACATCCTGGTCAAGCATCCATTCCTTTGCTTGCATTTGCGTCCTAGAATACTGATTGGCATACTGTTGATATTGGGAGGTGCTAATTCAAAAGCCTGCATGAGGTTCTGAAGTCTTTAATTAAACCCTTTTCCCTGATCCAATTAATCCTGGTCTTCTATACATCCTGTAGATTTTGATTATCTCTTGTATCACACTGGTATATTTTGTGGTGTTTATATAAGTTTGTGTCTCTTTCTAAACTCAAAGATGGAGGGCCTGGTTTTGTTTATCTTAGCTACAGCATACTACATCAAATACATACTTGATAAACAAACTTCTGTAGTATTACCCTATAATTCCAAGTCCCATGAAAAAAAGTTTGTGGGGCTGAAGTTGTGGCTCAGCGGTAGAGCACTCGCCTCGATGTGCAGGGCCCTGGGTTCAATCCTCAGCACCACATAAAAATAAATAAAAGTTATTGTGTACAACTACAAAAAAATATTAAAAAAAGAAAATAGTTTGTATTAGAAAATAAAGGATTTTAAGATATTAATCAACAATGATTATGAAAGTATTTGGCAAACTTTACATTAGTGACAGTTTCTTGGAAACTATTTGATGCATATGAGACAGTAAATAGCCAGTAATTGGGAGTCTGAAGGCAAAAAATTTGAAGATGAAGGGAATTCATGGGAATGTTGTCCTTAGTCACAGAAGTTTGTCTGTCAGCCAGTGTGAGGATCAAGTGTGTGGATCATTTTTCTTTGAAAACTTATTAAAATACAGATTTCTGAACCTTAATCACAAGCATTCTGAAATATGATTTGTGGTGGTAGAGATTAAGAATTTGCATTTTAAAAAATCCCCAAGTTTTTCTTATATGCATAGAAGTGTGAAAATAACTGAATTAGAGACTACAGGGGATTAGAGAGAAATCGGGGATGGTAGGAAAGAACTAGGTGACATTAGAGACCTTAGAAGCCCTTTAATTAGTTAATAGGATAAGCAGAGAGTGAATGTGAAATGGAAAGAGAAGATCTAAAAACTGAACCACTTGCAAGGATTTTTTTCTTTCTTTCTTTCATTCTTTTTTTTTTTTTTTTTTAAACTGGGGATTGATCCCAGGGCCTCACACATAGTAGGCAAGCACTCTACCACTGAGCTACATCCCCAGCCCTTTTAATTTTTATTTATTTATGTATTTTTATTTTTTTGTACCAGGGATTAAACTTAGGGGTGCTTAACCACTGAGCCACATCCCCAGCCCTTTTTAAAAAAATATTTTATTTAGAGACAGGGTCTTGCTGAGTTKCTTATGGTGTTGCTAAGCTTCTGAGATTGGCTTTGAACTTGCAGTCCTCCTGCCTCAGCATTCTGAGCCTCTGAAATTACAGGCATGCACCATTATGCCCAGCCTTTTTATTTATTTTGAAACAGGGTCTTTGTAAATTGCCCAGGATGGCCCCAAACTTCCCAATCATTCAGTCTTAACTGTGTCCTAAATACTCTGTACTATTCATAATATAGCTGCATTTTGCTATTTATTAGTACTGATTTTGAAGGTAAAACAAATTTAAGTTTAAAATCATGTCTTTTTTTTTTTTTTTTTTTTTTGGTCAGGTATATCTGATTCATTGGTCCATGAACAAGATAACCACCATTTACTTTATTGATACTTCCACAATTTCCCTCCAAGGACATAGGAATAACTAAGGTCATGGGTCCTAAACTTGGAAATCCACATTGTTAGGAGGCAGTACATTTCCCTGTAAATAAAATTGGTTCTCATCTTGTGTTTTTTTAGGTTTCCAGATTGTGATGAGCCATATCCTCGACTTGTGGATCTGAATCTAGTTGGAGATCCAACTGAAGGAGCCCCAGTGGCAGTGCAGAGAGATTATGGTTTTTGGTGTCCCCGGGAGTTGAAAATTGACCCTGATCTTGGTTATTCTTTTTTACACGTGCGTGATTGTTCACCTCCTTGTCCAAATATGTACTTCAGGAGAGAAGAACTGTCGTTTGCCCGCTATTTCATAGGATTGATTTCAATCATTTGCCTTTCTGCAACGTTGTTTACTTTTTTAACTTTTTTGATTGATGTCACAAGATTCCGCTATCCTGAAAGGCCTATTATATTTTATGCAGTCTGCTACATGATGGTATCATTAATTTTCTTCATTGGGTTTTTGCTTGAGGACCGAGTAGCCTGCAATGCATCCAGTCCTGCACAGTATAAGGCTTCCACAGTGACACAAGGATCTCATAATAAAGCCTGTACCATGCTTTTTATGGTACTCTATTTTTTCACAATGGCTGGCAGTGTGTGGTGGGTAATTCTTACCATCACATGGTTTTTAGCAGCTGTGCCAAAGTGGGGTAGTGAAGCCATCGAGAAGAAAGCACTGCTATTTCATGCCAGTGCATGGGGCATTCCTGGAACTCTGACTATCATCCTTTTAGCGATGAATAAAATTGAAGGTGACAATATTAGTGGCGTGTGTTTTGTTGGCCTCTACGATGTTGATGCATTGAGATATTTTGTTCTTGCTCCCCTCTGCCTATATGTGGTAGTTGGGGTTTCTCTCCTTTTAGCTGGCATTATATCTCTGAACAGAGTTCGAATTGAGATTCCATTAGAAAAGGAGAACCAAGATAAATTAGTGAAGTTTATGATCCGGATTGGTGTTTTCAGCATTCTTTATCTGGTACCACTCTTGGTTGTAATTGGATGCTACTTTTATGAGCAAGCTTACCGTGGCATCTGGGAAACAACATGGATACAAGAACGCTGCAGAGAATATCACATTCCTTGTCCATATCAGGTAAGGGAAACCTTGTTATAAATTTCAGAATGTGTAATAGTAAAAGTAAGAAGAAGGCATGTTACTATGAAGAGCTAATTTGGCTGTTTCTTAAAAACTCATCATGAATCTTCAACTTATTTATTTTTTTACTAGTCTATTTTAATTATAAAGAATAATGAGTTTGATTGTGGTATACATTTTGAAATTTAAAATGGAGATAATTAACAAATATATTGTAAATATATAATATGCATGTTTGCATAGACATCTTCATTTTAAAAGATGATTTRCATTTATTTCTAAGCTATGGGCTTTTTTTAACTTTTTTTTTTTTTTAGTTGTAGATGGACACAATATCTTTATTTTATGTATTTATTTTTTATGTGGTGCTGAGGATCAAACCCAGTACCTCACACGTGCTAGGCAAGAACTCTGCCACTGAGCCACAGCCCCAGCTCCTAAACTATGGGCTTTTAAGAGATCTATTTCCATTATTGTAAAACAGTTGTGTGTATTAATTCTTTAGAAGTCCAGGTTTAGCCAGGCACTGTGGTACATTCCTATAATCCCAGTGGCTTGGGAGGCTGAGGCAGGAGGATCATAAGTTAAAAACCAGCTTCAGCAACTTAGCAAGACCCTGACTCAAAAAAGGCTGGGGATGTGGGTTAGTGGTGGAGAACCCCTGGGTTCAATCCCTAGTACCAAAAAGCTGCAGGGGTGCAAGTAGAGGGCCTTGGGGATATGGCTCCACTGGTTAAGCGCCTCTGGGTTCAATCCCTCGTCCAAAAAAAACCAAAAAAATTAGAAGTCCACATTTGTGGGGGAGAAATATTGTACCAACTCTGATAAGAAGGCACTGTCTTGGGCTAGGGATATAGCTCAGTTGATAGAGTGCTTGCCTGTCACACTCAAGGCCCCTGGGTTCAATTCCCAGCACCATACACGCCAAAAAAGAAGGCACCATCTTTGATGGAAATTTTACTGATCAGATAAGGAAATAATTGTTATAATTTTGCAAAAATAATAGAAAGCAATTATATAAACTCTTGTGGTCTTGTTTTTTTCTTGGATATTGAAGATTTTATAATGTACTTTTAGGTTTAAAGATTTCAGATCCTCTGTTAGTCATGGAATTTTAGATCTAGAAAGAACTTCAGAGTTCGTTTATTGGTATTCCTGCTCTAAATTTCTTGAACATCATCTCATTTGAAGCTTAGAAATGTGAAGTGATTTGCTCAGGCTTAGTAAGTGACCTCTTGGGATTTAGTTTTAAAGGAGATGCATAGTCAAGGAAAGTAGCTTTCCGGAGTTGATGCTGAGTATTTATTCCTCCACCTTAAATCCTTCTTTAGAACCTATGCCTCTAGCTATTACTCTCTTCTTCCCCTTTAAAACAAATTTTCATGGATAAGTACTCTTTATTGATCTAGGTGTCCTAGTCACAAAGTGCACTGGCTGCCTTCACAACTCTCCCAATCCTTATGTTTCTCTAATAACTTTTCAATACATTTTTAAAGTACTTAATGTATTATAGATAATTTTGGTTTACTTGTCTTTTTCTTATACTAGGGTGAACTTTACAAGCAAAATCTTTTTTATTTTTTGAATACATATTCTGTAGGTTAGTAAATGAGAGCCATGAGAAGTGGGTATATAGTTAAGAAGAGACATCTTTAAGAAATGGTAACAGTGGTATTGGGGACACTGAGTATGGGGTTAGTATATTATCAGTGCTTAAATTCAGTGACTGAGAATGCTAGCCTCCCATTTGCTTTGTGGTATAAATCCTGTACAAATTATATTTTTATCATTTAATAATTTTAGTTATGAATTTTTAAAATAAACCAACTCATAATTTAGAGACCAGGAAAAAAATGAATAATTGAAATTCAATTAAATTTCTTGGCAGTTACTTACTAAAAAACTCAATGATTCAGACCTAAAGGTAAGTAATCAAATTTTGCCTCAACTGAGAAAAAAAGATGGTTAAATTCGTTAAATGCTTCCCCAAACAAGTTGTCTAGGATTCAAAAAATRTTATCTTAGGGATATTGAAGAAATAATGTTGACTATGAAATAAACTTTAAAAATACCAAACCTTGCCGAGCGTGGTGATACACATCTGAAATCCCAGCTACTCAGGAAGCAGAGGCAGAAGAATCAAGTTCCAGGCCAGCTTGGGCAATTTAGCTAGCAAGACCCTGTTTCAAAACAAAAACAAACCTTAAACATATAAATTAGTAAATTAGAGCAGGCAGGATTCTGCTCTCCTTGAGACATTCCTAAAATTCTTTTAGCATCTTTAGAACCAGTGTGAGTTACATGGACATGTATGTATGTGTGCTTTTCTGTATAATCATAGGTTTAAAATGTATTTTAATGAAATATTTCCAACATATGTGAAAGAATAGAGAATGGTGTAATGACAAAGGTATTAAGCTATAAGCTAGAGAGCAGGAATCTTAGCTTCATATCTTATTTTTATGATTTACTAGTTTTATAACCTTGAGCAAACTTCACTTCTCTTTGTTTCAGTTTTTCTTCTATAAAATGGGGATATTAATAGCATCTACCTCCTGGGGTATTTTTTTGTTTTGGTTTGGCTACTGGGTTATTTTTCAGATTAGAAAAATAACATAGACCTGTGCCTACTGTATAGTAAGTGCTTGGATGTTAGCTCTGTTTTTACTCTTTTTCTTCTATTGCTATGGATATGTATATCATATGTACAATATTTATTATATATGTGATTTTTCAAAAGAACCACTCAATACCTGCTTTAACAAATGCTATATTTGCTTCAGACTTTTTGAAGAAATATTACAGATTTAGCTAAAGCTTCCTGTATTCCCCTCCCTATTCCTCCCTATCAGAAAGAGCCATCATCCTAGAGTATATCATTGCCTTGAAAGTCTGTACAATGAGAAATATGTGTATAGGTCTAAAAATTGTTTTACATAGTATATAAGTGATATCATATGTGTATTTCTTCAGCTTGTTTTTTTTTAACTCAACATTTTGTTTTTGACATGTATTTATGTTAATATCACAACTCTAGTTTTTTTGTTTGTTTGTTTGTTTTTGTTTTTTTTTGGTACCAGGATTGAACCCAGGGGCACTTAACCACTGAGCCACATCCCCAGCCCTTTTTTATTTTTCATTTGAGACAAGGTCTTGCTGAGTTGCTTACAGCCTTGCTAAATTGCTGAGGCTGGCTTTGAACTTGCAATCCTSCTGCCTCAGCCTCCCAAGCTGCTGGAATTACAGATGTGTGTCTAGTTCATTTTTTTAAAAAATGCATTTTCTTTTAAGGAAGTTTGTATTATAAAATATTTCAAATATATAGAAGTATAGAAAAGTAAATACCCATGTACTCATAACCCAACCATCTTGAAGTGTTATGTCAAATACATCTATAGCTATRTCCATACATAAATGCCTATATCATATCTGTCTATCCATGAATGAAAGATATACTTGATGACTCTTCTGTTCTCTTTTCTCTCATTCCTTTCCCATCTCCCTGCCCTGTTTATGCCCTATTTATGATAACCCTTCTCATAAATAGGATATTTATCATTCCCCCAAATATTTTTATGTCCTTACTGAATGTTTATGTCCATAAACCTTGCTGTTTTGCGAGTTTTAAAAATACATGTAAAGTGGGATCATTCTGTAGCTTGCTTTTTTCACTCAAGTTTGTTTTTGAGACTATACATCAGTATGTGTACTGCTCATTTGTTCATTTTTAACTGCAGTAGTGTGCTCTTCTATTTACTCATTTTTCTTTTGCAATTCACTCATTTTTCTATTGATGGATATACAATTTCTTAATTTTTATGTTCTTATAAACCATTTTGCAGCAAAATTCTTATTATACCTGTCTATCCTGCACATGAGTAAAAGTTTCAATGTCTTTACCAAAAGTGGAATTGTTGGGCTGGTGTTGTGGCTTAGTGGTAGAGCGCTTGCCTGGAATGTGTGACGCACTGGGTTCGATCCTCAGCACCACATAAAAAGAAATAAATAAAGGTATTGTATCCATCTACAACTAAAAATATATTTTTTAAAAAACCCAAAAAACAAAAGTGGAATTGTTGCATTGTAAGATAYAAGCATCTTCAATTCAAGTGGTTACTTCATTTATTTTCTCACCAGGAGTTTGAACCTCTCTCTTCTCCCCATCCTGGTGTTCTCATGCTTTAAAGTTTTTGCCAGCCTTTGAAATGATATCTCAGTGGTTTAGCAATTTTCATTTCCCTTTTCAGTAATAAGAGTAAGTGTGTTTTTGTATATTTTTTGGCCATTTGGGATTTCTGTTGTAATMTGCCACTGCTCTGTTAAGTTTATTGCCTTTTTTTTTTAAGAGAGAGAGAATTTTTTCATATTTATTTTTTTAGTTCTCGGCGGACACAACATCTCTGTTTGTATGTGGTGCTGAGGATCGAACCCGGGCCGCACGCATGCCAGGAGAGTGCGCTACCTCTTGAGCCACATCCCCAGCCCAAAGGTTTATTGCCTTTTGTTGTATAAATATTCTTGATAGTCTTTGTCAGTTATTTGCATTGCACATCTCTTCTACTGCTCTCTAGTTTGTCTTTTCACTTTTTTTGTTCTTTCTTTGGTCTTTTGTGTTTTAAAAATTATTTTAAAATCCTGCCTTTAAAGTCATAAAAGTTCTGCCATGTTTTTTTTAACAGTTTTTACAATTTTTTATACATTTCTCTAATCCCTTTATGTTTATTTTTGTCTCTGTTATAAGGAACATAATTTTATTTTTTTCACATAAATAAGCAGTATGCCTTCTGCACAGTTTGTCAGATAACCCATTTGAATTACTGCACAACCTCKGTCAGCTACAGTTTCGTTTTTAAAGTGCTTTTGTTCCATTGGTCTATTTGTTTAACAGTGTTTTGATTCTACATTTTCCCTACTGTATTCTTCAAAATTATTTTAGTTGTTCTTGGCACTTTTCTCTTCTAGGTGAATTTCTTTTAAAAATATTTTTTAGTTGTAGT